CCCCCCCCCTCCCTCCCAGTCGGTTCTCGGTGTCGATCGCGTTTCCCTAACCCACAAGCGTCGTGGGATTATCAGTTACGTTCTTTTATTCGCACCAGGCTGGCCCTGGTTTAACGAATCCCTTTCGTTCACAACCCCCCGCATGAACACACCGGGGGCGGTACGGAGTACCCAGTACGAGATGCCCAGTGTTTGAGACCACGCCGCTGCTGTCTTAATCAGAAGATCACTCGTCTGTACCTTGATACTCTGGTCCGCTTGGCCGTCTGAAACCCCTCTTTGTGGTGATCTGGCCGGAGGTCAAAATGTCTCTCCTTCATAACGAAGAGTACGTTACGACGAAACGAAACCGCTTCCCCTCTCCTCTCCGCGGGTTCTTTAGTTGGTCGTGGACAATACGTCTAATTAGGTTGGTATAGTTTCGCCATATGGCAGCTACGCACCTCATATCTATCTACGATTAAGGACGGGATCGGTGACCGGCTCATCAACGTCAACAACTCGGTGCTCAACACTCCTGGTTTCCGCGCGGCTGGCTGGTCGTCTGGCTATCCGAATGCCGGCGCCCAAAGTGTCGCCTCCCAGATCAAGCGTACATACTCCCCGCCAATCCCCTCAGCCGCGACGGTTTCCTCGGAGTATTACCGCCTGAGCAACAATAAGGGTCCCAATGGCGCGACGAACAACGCGGGAGGGTTTGCTTTGGTGGACAATGGAGAAGAGGAAGAAGGGGGCATGGTCACTGGTCGACGCAGTATAGACATAGTTGGGCCTCGGCATCACCCCCGGGGCGGAAAGAAAGGCCGTAGAAGGGATCGACAGCAGCCGGAGCAGCTCAGACCGGCGGATGCAGAAGAGGATGATAGCAGCGATCTCAGTGATGAAAGTGACGACGAGGGCGATACGCCTCAAAGGTTTGTCGATGCCAAACCTGCGTTCATGAAATATCCTATTTTGAAATCTTCCACAAGCTTACTTCTCAATCCAATGTAGGGCTGCCCAGCAGATCAAATTTTCGAAAATGCCTATACGGATACGCGCAGGTTCCTCTCCGATACGCACTGCAGACCGCCGAGAGAGGCCGGAGGTCATGGTGACCTCTCCCTCGCATCTGTCTGTAGGCAATCATTACCGTACGGGCTCTTTGGGGACAGCTGTCAGCGTCCCTGAGCGTCCGCGGCGAGATACAACCACAAGTAGCGACATTTCATCCGAGAACGAGACAGAGCTCTCTCTCAAGGAGCGCCAGATCCAATTTTCCGAGCAAAATCAGGTGATCCAGCCCTTATCGTTGAAGAAGAAGCGTGAGCGCGCTGCCAGCAGAGACGAGGTTGAAGGTCTTGCGCTTAGCGATCTGAACGAACAAGCCGAAGACTCTGGAGCCGAGTCGGTTGGCTCTGCGATGTCCTCTGACTTTGGTGCGACGGCAGGCTCAGCATCACTGCTCGAGGCTGTGGGTATCACCGGTCTGGATTCTTCCTCCCCCCTTGCCCTGATGCAAAAGCTTCAGAATGCAACCGGATCTCAGACCACTTCGCCGAGAAAGCCCAAGGCTCCGGCTCCAGAACTGCAAGATCTACCTCCCCCTCGCCCGATCAGCACGGTCCAGCCTATCAGTCTACTCTCGCTAGAGTTGAATGCGCGCAAGAAAGCGCCAGCTAACCATGTCGAGCAATTTGCAATCCTCTCTGGCAAGGGCTCCACGGATGTCTTGAACATTAAGATATACGCGCCCTTTTCCAGCAACCCCGAGGATCCTTTTGAAATGCCACTCGCTCGAGAGTCGAAGCTTGCCGATCAGCCAGCACCGGTTACGGTTACTGAAGCTATTGGGCTGGCCCTCTGGCAATACGACGACGAAGGCCTTGAACCACCCATTGACCCCAGCAAGCTGGCTGTGAACCGGTGGACGCTCCGCATGGTGGAGGACGGCGAGGTGGAGTATGATTTCCCTGCTTTGGGACGTACCTTACCCATAGCCGATTTTACATCTAACAACAACCGGGCGGCGGCCTCGCGAGGCCGGTCACGGGGCAAGCCGTACGATGAATTTGCCCTGGTGGAAGCATCCCAGAGCGAGTTCGAGGAGAATGAGCGCCAGTTTCCGAAATTCAGCGTAGCCTCTGCCGCCCCTGAGGGGGGCGGAACCAGTGAGCGGCCGCCAGCCCTATCGATCCCCGTGACGCAGCCCGGGATGTCACAGACCAAAAGCCCAACCAGCCGTCAGAACCCCATCCTAGGCCAGCCCTTCTCGTCAGCCTTGAATGACAACACCTTGACCCCTGCGGACCGGCCGGCGGTGCCGACTTCGCATGCCACACCACGCATGGGGGTTTCGAAAACCCTCAAGATCCGCTTCATCAACCTGGAGGCGTCGACGCATGTGATGACCATCAACACGTCTACGGATAGCTACATCGCCGAGATCCTTGACACGGTTTGCAAACGATGGGGGCTCGACAAGGGGAACTATCTACTGAAGGTGATGGGATCCAACACCATTGCTCCATTGGACCGCACCGTCGAGGCGTTGGGCAATATCACCGACCTGGACCTGGTACGGCGGCGATTTGGGGCGGGCCCGTTAACGATGATGGGCTCCCCCGGGAGCTCATCGCCGAACGCGCCGCTGATGGTGGACAACTCGAGCACGGCGCCAGTCAAGAAGGGCAAGAAGAGCGGGCAGCGCATGCTGCACCCACTGGCGCAGAAGCAAGATCTGATCGGCGGGTATTACCGGCGGTACCATGTATTCCGCAAGCAACCCATGTCCTTTACGGCATCGAACCATCGCATCCTGACCTTTGACAACGACTACTTGCACATCATGCCCGGCGACACGGGCAAGACGGTGTCGGACACCAAGACGCGGTCGATCAGCTTCAATGACGTGGTGGGTTGCAAGGTCAGCCGGCGCCATCCGAAGAGTTTCCGGGTGGTCGTGCTACGCGGCAACGACGCGACGGAGCAGAAGCGGTACGATTTTGAGGCGCGCAACGCTCTAGAAGCGGTGGAGATTGTTGACGAGATCAAGAAGAACATGGCTCAATACCGAATATAACTTTTTCCCTTTCGCCGTTGGAATGGAACTCTAGTTTGAATTAGGCTAATTGGATTTTTCTTTTTTCTCCCTCCCATCTCTCTTCCTCTGTCCGCGTGGAACTGTGAATGAATGAGTCTCTCGCTACCAGCGGATCTGAAGCTAAAGATAGTCGCTCGTACTATGTAGTATGACCAGCTCTTCCAAGAAAACAAAACAAAACAAAAAAACAGTCAAAATTCAGTTTCGATGCGATGAAATATGGAATATCAATAGATAGACAAGGAGATCGATCGATCCATTTGACTGAGAGTTTGATGATGACATGACGACTTTCAGTCCCAGAGACTCTCCGTGTCCACAGCTGTCGGCGTAGGTCGGCGATGAAGTCATCGAGCTTGTATTTACTTTGTTATTTCTTGCTATTATCTTTTGTAATAATTGTGCAATTATTACATAGATCCTATATTGACCAGGTATACTATTATTATAATACAGCATAACCAGCTATTAGCGACTAGATTCTTTATCAGTTATCAATCCTATCCCTGCCTCTTAGACATTAGTAAAATAACAGTACTTACTTGGCTTTGTTATCAATTCTAGGTATGTTCTTTTGTAAACGTAGATCCGGATATCGACGTCATGGCCTATGAGTGTAATGCCAATCCGCAAGCGGCACCAGATAGCCCGTTGAGCCGACGGCGATTGAGACGGGGTCTGTATATTCTACATTGGGAGATGAGAGAGAAAAGAGAGAGACAGAGATACGTAGAGGAATGGGATACAGAAGAAGCCATCTTGCCGCACTACAAAGAAAACATGGTGCTGCTGCTGGTGATGTAGTCGTGAGCTTTGTGTCGTAACCCCGCTCTGTCGCTTCGCCGACCTCGACGATTCTCCATCGGTTTCACCTTACGTCTTCCCCCCAACCGAAAAAGAAAGGAGACCACAGAAAGCCAGTCCGGTTGACTTCTTCCCTCCTAAGCCGGCTCAGATCCTCCAAGTGTGGCTGTCTCGCAAAACTGTCTTTCGGCTTGTCCGTCTTTGCCCCCAAATCTCCACCTCCCTCTCTCCCAGCCTTTGGCTCTCTTCCCCCCCGCCGATCCGCTCGTACAGAGGCGCCCCCTCTCCCTCCCCCTCCCCCTCCCCCGGTGTGTCTTACTGCTACATCTTTTTTTTGAACGGTCGTTCGTCTTCTTCTCCAATTGAGACCATCATCTCGGAGCTCGTTTCGATGCCGAGCCTAGGAGGTCTCCTGAAAAAAAGGCGGACGAAGGACTCGCACACCCTGTCCAAAGAGCTCGAATCGGCCTCGTCTGCGGAGCAGCAGCAGCACCAACAACACCCTACAGACACCCAACCCTCGTCAACGGAGGCAGCAGCGCAGCCGCAGCCCGCGTCCGGCGAGCAGAACCAAGCTTCCGCGGACGCCAATCGACCGATAGAGGAGTCCGGAGTCTCGATGCAGCAGTCCGCGGTCGCCCAGTCGCACTCGTCCGCGACCCCCCAGCAGCCGCAGCCGCAGCTGCAGCAGCAGAGCGGCAATGTCGCCAGTATAAACAACATCATTAATGCGCAGCCGCAGCCGCAGCTGCAGCAACAACAGAATGCAGGCAATGCGGTGCAGGCGACTGCTGGCGGCCAGGCGCGGACGGAAACCACCAGATCGACCAAGGGAAAGTACTCGCTGGAAGACTTCTCGCTCCAGCGCACGCTGGGGACGGGGAGCTTCGGCCGCGTGCACCTGGTGCAGTCGCGACATAACCACCGCTTCTACGCCATCAAGGTGCTTAAGAAGGCCCAGGTAGTGAAGATGAAGCAGATCGAGCACACCAATGACGAGCGGCGCATGCTGAATCGGGTCCGGCACCCGTTTCTGATCACCCTCTGGGGTACGTTTCAGGACGCGCGGAATCTATACATGGTGATGGATTTTGTGGAAGGAGGAGAGCTCTTCAGTCTGCTTCGGAAGTCTCAGGTGAGCTTTTTTTTTTTTTCTTTTCTAATAAAACAGCTTCCTTCCCTTTGCTGACATGGTCTAGCGTTTCCCTAACCCGGTGGCCAAATTCTACGCCGCCGAGGTCACGCTCGCTCTCGAATATTTGCACGGCCACCAGATCATCTACCGCGACCTTAAACCCGAGAATCTCCTCCTTGACCGTCATGGCCACTTGAAAATTACAGATTTCGGCTTTGCCAAAGAAGTGCCGGACATTACCTGGACTTTGTGTGGGACTCCGGATTATCTGGCGCCAGAAGTGGTCTCGTCCAAAGGCTACAATAAGTCGGTGGACTGGTAAGAGTTTTTCTTTTTTTCCCCTTCGCCAGCTACAAATTCATGTCTGGATTCTCATCATGTTGTAAAGGTGGTCTTTAGGCATCCTCATCTTTGAAATGCTGTGCGGATTCACTCCCTTTTGGGACAGCGGCTCTCCCGTCAAGATCTATGAGAACATCCTGCGGGGAAGGTTAAAATTCCCGCCATACCTGCACCCGGACGCTGTGGATCTCCTATCGCAGCTTATCACAGCAGATCTCACGAAGCGTCTGGGCAACTTGCACGGTGGATCCGAAGATATCAAGAATCACCCATGGTTCGCCGAGGTGACATGGGATCGCCTCGCGCGCAAGGACATCGACGCTCCCTACGTGCCGCCGATTCGTGGCGGGCAGGGTGATGCCAGCCAGTACGATAGATATCCAGAAGAGACCGAAGCCTATGGCGTGCAGTGCGAAGATGCGTATGTCTCTCTTCCCTGATGTTTCCCCCTTCTTTTCTGCTAGTTTGCTTTCTCTGACTTGAAGTAGTTACGGTCATCTGTTCCCCGAGTTCTAATATCACACACCATGATTTTTATGATGATGATGATGATAAAACGGGGAATCCTCTTGTGGCGAGGTGCAAGAGAACCTGCAGGTGGCTAATAATAAGCAGGGAATAACATGGGGGTTTTGTTTTTCTCATCCTTTTGAATACGGGGTCTCTTTTGGGTATACTTTCTCCTCCTGTGTTTTTTTTACCCACCTTCGGTCGCGAGCCGACTGTCTTTGGTTCCTGTCTATTTTACAACTATTTGACACATCCGATAAACCAGCCTTACCCCCCCCCTCCCCCTTCTCCCTTCAAAGATCCTCCGATTGCAAAGGGTCTGCTCAACTGACTCTTGAGGGGATAGAGAGACGAAGATCACTAAAGACTTCCATGTATGGGATTTTGTTCTATGCTTTTCGGGTTTCTGTCAAGCATGACGCTGGGTGTCCTATTACTGGTGTACTGTGTGTGTACTGTCCGATAATGCTATTTGTCCTAACATATTCCTTTTACATATGGGTACTGCCTATTAAATAAAAGTATTAATCTATATGGAAATTACCGCCTAGCCTGCATGTCTATGCGATAGTAGTTCTATGACAAGTCTGTAGTACTTGAATACATTCTTAACTACCACCGAGGTAAATGAATATAGATTCAACAGATGTATTCACTATACAAGCCTGCAGTGTATTCGCCCATATTATACATTTTTTATCAATAATCAATCAATGCCACCCGCCCATCTAATAAGACAGTTGACCATTGTTTTCTCCTTGGCCGTGCTCCAATTCCCCCCCTGTTCTCTTTGAGAAGGGACATCGTTTCTACTCGGAGTTTCCAGTCCCCAAAGCTGCCATGGCATGAATATCCTGCCCGACTTTCTTGCTCTCCGAAGTCGCGCGCCCCACGTACGTCTTGCTCGCCACGTTCCACAGCGAAATGTACTTCTCCATACAACTCGACAGGCAGGTCTGTTCGCCCGAGGAGAGTGACGAGCCGGGGGCGGGGATGCAGCGTTCGAAGCAGTGCTCGTTGACTTTCTAAACAATTCATTAGATCGTTAGTATATATGGAATACGTTTCCTAATGCGATCAGGAACAAGAAGGGCATTCGTACGGCGATCAGAATCCGCGCATTGGCTAATGCGGCTTCTTGTTGAAGCTGTTTGACGATGGCGGCCTTGACGTCCTCGGAGGAGGCCGGGGCATTCGAAGAACCGAAGAGAGCCATTGCACTGTTATTTTTGGAAAGAGAATAAATGAATAAGCTGTATAACGTAGTGAGACGTCTGTTCAAAACTTTTGGTTCAAGGTGAACTGAACTGAACGGTTCATCTGATGGCCGAGAAGGGAATGAAGCGGGCGGTGAAGTGTGGCTGGTACGAGGGAAGCCTGCGCCACACGCCCGGTGTTGTGGACACATGGATCAGTTGGTGATGGGACTACTACTTACTACACCGTTACCAGTTTATCAAGGAACTTTGCTGTCAACACTCTTTCTGACGACCCTTATTTTCTCTTCTCTTCTTTCCCCGCACGGGCGGTTATGTCTCTGCAGTGTTGATGTCCCGGTGACACCCTATCCAACTCCCAACTGCTATCACCTCTTGTCCTCTCTCCAGCGACACAAAAACAAAGCTATCGATCTATTATTCCGTCCAGTCTGTCCTTTATTTTCCCCGACCAAGCAATAAGGAAATCCACCTTGATCGTCGCTTGGCGAATCTTTTTTATCTTACTTTCATTTTTTCTATTTTTTTTTCTCGTACCTGGGTTCTTTCAAACGTCTGAATCATCTTCTACTCCCACCGCAATATGTGGTTTCCGCGACTTTCGTCCCTTCTTTGCCTGGCCGGCCTAGCGGCCAATGCTGTCAATGCTTACGACGGTGACGAGGATATCAAGAGTATTCCGGTTAGTTAGCAGCTTCATATATGCGAAGGAGAACCGACGAGAAGTACTAGGTTTTGCTAATATTGACAACCACAGCTTCGTACTCACAGCCTCGAACCAGTGGGTCTCTCTCAGCTTCGGACTTGAAACATTTCTTCTACTGCAGATCAATTGTCTCATTGACACCTTTTCCCAGCCATATCTTGACTCGGATTTCCAAAGCCGTTGGTTCGACTTTGGTGGAGATACGATCATCCGCGCGGACCAGTAAACACACCCATATCCCTGCACGTACTCGCGTGAGACGTTTCCCCCTCACCTCTAACAACGGCTATAGATACATTCGTTTAACGTCTGACCGGCCCTCGCAACAAGGATGGATCTTCTCGCGTGTTCCGCTGACCGCGACGAACTGGGAGGTCAGTACCTAGTCATACCCTTTGTTTTTGGGTCTCACTTGTCACCGTCCCGAGTGCTGACCGCGCGAACAAACAGATCGAGCTCGAATTCAAGTTCCACGGCTCTGGAAACCTACATGGCGATGGATTTGCCCTGTGGTTGACGAAACAGCGCGCTACACCGGGCCCCGTCTTTGGCTCGACTGATCGCTTCGAGGGTCTCGGCATCTTCTTCGATACCTACAAGAACAACCGTCCCGGAACCTCCTTCCCGTACGTCATGGCCATGATGGGAGATGGCCAGACCACATACGACCAGGCACACGATGGCAAGGACAACGAATTGGCCGGTTGCTCGGTAAGTGTGGAATAAAGATGAAGAGGATATTCCCAGGCCATTCTTTTTTTTTTTAAATCATCGCTAATACCCCCTCCCCCAACCAGGCACGTGGTCTTCGTACTTCTTCGGTTCCCACCAAGGCGCGTTTGACGTATTTCCAAGACAAGTCTTTGACCCTAGACCTGCAGTACAAGACGGAGGACTCGTGGGTCAACTGCTTCACCTTGACCGCTCCCGAAACCAACATTGCCATCCCCTCCGTCGCATACCTCGGTCTCTCCGCCGAGACGGGTGAGGTGACCGACAACCACGACATCATCTCGCTCAAGGCCCAGAACCTCTACAGCGTTTCCAACAGCAAGGCCCGCAAGGACCGCGACGGGCCCGGCAAGAGCCGCAACCGATCCAAGCCCAGCAAGAAGCAGAAGAAGGGCTCCTGGAGCTGGTTCCTCTTCAAGACCGTCTTGTTCTTCCTCGCCGTCGCCGGCGCCTACGTCGGCTACACGACGTATCGGGCCAAGCAGCGCTACTCGAGATTCTAAAGTTTGAAAGAATATCATCGGGCAAAAAAAAAAACCGAAAACTCTGAAAAAAGCGAAAACAAGAAAAAAAAAATCGAACCAATCAAGCATCCCTCGTACTCAAATTCAGTCCAACTCCTGATCTATCTTCTACGTTATTTTGCATAGCCTTGTATCAAATGTATCACGTCAACTACTCCTTTTCCTCTACTCTTAATTGCAAAAGTGGTTTTCTACGGCTGCCATTGACACGACTGAGAACTAATGGCTCACATCATAATCTATGTACTTGCTCAGCAGTGCAATCATGGTTCTTAGTGGAGAGCAATTAATAGTGTATGCATGAAATACAATGTCTGAAGGAACAGCTGGGTATCATATCGTAAAGTGTATGCTGTTCGCAAGCCTCGTAAACCTCTATTTCGAACTTCGTCATCCACGGTTTTGTTTCTCGCGTTCCTCATTCCACATCTGATCGAGGATTTGGAATACTTCCGTAACACTCTTGACAATAACCTCTTCGATTCCCAAAGCGCCGTATAGGTGCTGAATTTTGTCCGGGTGCCACCGCACACGCTCAGCCTTGAGTGTTGTCAGAATATGGGAAGAGTCGTCTTTCCGCTTTTGAGGCTTTTCACCAGCCGAGGAGTTTCTAGGCGCATGAAGCATGAACTCTTCCACTGCTGCTCGCGAGATATCTCTCCGCTTGCCGGACTCCACAGGCCAGAATATCACATTTCTGAAGTGTTTCTGGTCGCCCTCCATTTGATTGCCCTGCCCATCGCCACTCCTGGCTGTTAGCTGATTCAGCGCTTCCCAGCTGCGCTGGTATTCTTCCCACACTGTTTTCCAGGCCTTCAGTCGCCGCCGCTCCCGGCCTCTTTTCAGACTTTCTTCGATTGCTTGTTCGAATTGCATTTTCTCATAAGACGCTCTTTCCTGTCTCTGATCCTGTGCCTTCTGTCTCGCTTTTTCTTGACGAAGTCGTTCCCTCTCTTCGAACATCCCCTCATGGGTCCGTTCCCACATCCGTGCGCGCACGTACGTCGCATATTCCTCGTCGGACATCTGTTCCAGCTCCCCATTCGGTCCCTTTGGTACCGAGGGCTTGTCGTATGTATGGATTGGCTGCCCGTAAACCGATTCCCAGTATGCTGCACCTTCGTCATCGCCCAGCGCGTCGAACAGCGATTCGCGAAATGCGGCCCCGGGCGAGAGTCGCGCATTCGATCGTTCATGAGAGGAAGGAGAATGGCCACGTTTGCTTCTTTTCCGTTCAGAGGTGGTTTGAGATCCATGGCGATGATGTCGCTTGCGATGGTGCTGACGGTGTTGTTGGCCTTCGTCGGTCTCGTTGGTTCGCGATCGGTGCTTGGATTTGGAAGATTTGAACCGAAATTTCCCATTCACTGTACCGGAATCATCGTGTCTACGATCTTCGGTATCGCCTTGCCGTAGATCTGCGCCATCGCTGGCAGGGTGATTCTTTGATGTTGCATCCATCCTTCAGTCAACAACACTCAAAGCCTTGGACAGAGCCATGTGGAACCACAAAGACGCTTCAGGTCAGTTAATGTCGCTTTTCCATTTTTTGGAGCCGTGATTATGTACTTGGGTTCCTCGAGCAACTGCGTTGAAATGTCGGCGGGAACTGCCATTAAAAAAAACGGCAGGCGCGATGATGCTCCTGGTGGTGGCCAAAGATAGTTGTATTAGTCAGCTATCTTATCAGATGCAGATCAGTTTAGCGTAAGGCAATCCACCTCACGCAGATTCTCTCCGTCATCATCCAACACCCCCCCCCGGCGGTTCCCCCACACGCCCGCAAACATGGCTCTTGTTTCGTATTCCGATTCAGAAGCGTCCGATTCAGAAGTCGAATGCGGGTCTCAATCTCAAAACACAAATAAGATTGCCCCGGCTCCATCGGATCCGCAGAAACCAGCCCCCGGTGCAGCTGGATTTCAAACCATCGTTGATCGCAGCAACCCACGCAAAATCCGCGTCGCGCTTCCCCAAATTAAACCAGACCCCTCATCAGAAGGAGCCCAGGAAGATGAAGATGGACCGTCTCGAAAGAGACCTCGGATAGGTGGTGGACTTTTCAGCGGGTTCAATTCTTTGCTTCCTGCCCCTAAGAAAGCCAACACAACTGCAGATAAGGCCAAGGGCGCGGCTGGACCGACGCGCAAAGTCTTCAGTCTGAAAACAGGAGCGACACCCGGATTTGATCGAGAAGCCGATGCCGAGATGCGATTTAGCCAAACCGCGCTTGACCCGACTCCTGATCGTGAGGAAGCTGCAGCTGCATCTACGAGCGAAACCGCAGCGTCTGCTGAGCCTGAAGCGCCAAAGGAAGAGGTCAAGCTAAAAGGCAATCCGATGATGTTCAAGCCCCTCTCTGTCGCTCGGAATTCGAAAAAGAAGAAGTCAACTAGAGTGATTCCAGCCTCCGCAGTGACATCAGAGACAGTGGTTCAAAATCAGATTTCACAGCCGGCGAAGGAGGGACAAACCTTGCAGTCGCAATCCCAAACCCTTCTAGCACCATCTGTCACGCCAAAACCCAAAGTTAGTCTGTTCTCCTTGTCGACTGACGAGGATAGGACGGGATCAAACACGAACGCCGCAGAGAAAGCATCAGCGTATGAACCAATGGTGTATACCAGCAATCGTGAAGATCCCGCAGCGGGACCTCAGCCGGAAGTTGAGGCATCTTCCGTATCATCGATCACTGCCGGCTCATCAAACCAGGCTCCAACGTTGGACAATATCGCAAATGATTTGAATTTGTCCCGTTCGCAGAGGCGCCAGCTGTTTGGACGACAGGCAGCTTCAGCGTCTCGTATTCTCACCTTCAACACGGACGCAGAGTACGCGGCCAACCAAGCAATGGCCCATGAGACCGATCTCGCAGCGGTTCAACATAACCCTGTTCGGGCAATTGCTCCCGGAAAGCATAGCTTGCAGCAGCTGGTGAATGCAGCCAACAGCCAACGAGACGCCTTAGAGGAAAGCTTTGCCACGGGACGAAGAAATAAGAAAGAGGCTGGATCAAAGTACGGGTGGTGATTCGGTTTGGAATAGTTGTATGATCATGCCTGCTTTCTGGTCATTCTCTAATTATATTTGATACCATTCTTTGTAACTATAATAAGCAATAAGCAGACTTAAACACTTAATCTCTTTATATTATAGCTGTATGTACAACTAGAAGAAAATAAAAAAAAATCTATAACCATATGTAAAGTTTAATAATCCAGAACACCATTCCCATACATAATGACTTTTTTAAGATGAGACATCCACAACTTCAGCAAACCATTGCTTCAACGCCGTGGCTAGAACCGCCGGTAACTCCCGAACATCACGAACAACGAGGTAATAAGGGAAGGGGAAACCTTCGAGATATCTCTTCATCTTCAACTTCATCTCTCCTGAGCCGCTGGCAGGGTCAGCCTCGAAGCTTGCCTGGGTGAGGTCCAAGATGGAGCTGCCCTTGACCGCGTCGACGATGATGAAAACGATCATAATCCGCTCTTCCTGCGCCTGTCGGACTAGACGGCGGATGGTTTCATGGTCCTCGCAGATTCCATCGGAGATGATAAGTTCTAGCTGCCAGAGGTCGGCGTTCCCACCACCTGGCGAGCGCTTGAAGCGAGCTTCGCGGAACAGCGCAATCGAGTCGGCGATGAGTTTTCGCACATTGGTGCCCGTCTGCTGGTAACTGAAATGCTGGAACACCTGGCTGCCTGCATCGGAGGAGAAGGGCTTGCCGAATCCGTGCGCGACTCGTACGTGCTCCTCACTGCCAAAGCCAAGGACGCAGAGGTCGCCTGCTTCCAGCATGCTAAGACTCTTCGCAACAAGAGCAAGAGTTTCGAATGCTAGCTGGCCACTCCCGCTTTCGAGCATAGACTTGCTGTCGTCAACGGCGAGCATAATCTGGTAATTTCTCTTGGAGGGGATCGACCGCCGCATCCAGATCTTGTCACGCTTGTACTGAGAGGCAATGTAAGGAATGATGCGTTTGATATTGAGTCGTTTTCCTGTCCGGAAATCGCCTCTGAGCTTCGTAGCCAGAGTAGGTGCTAAAATCAGGCGCAACTGTTCAGTCAACGAGAGAGAAAGGTCGTTTGTGGCCGACTCGTAAAAGGACCAAAGTCGTCGAGCCTCGATTTCAGGGGTGAGAGGTGGGAGAGTGGATGAGAGATGGATGGCCGCGAGATGCTGGTCAACCTCGTCCAATTCTTCATCCACATCTTGATGGCCATTAAAGTCCCTTGACGGGTCCTGGGCCTGGGAACTGCCTGGGATAAATGCCCCTGCGCCTCGGAAGTCTGTTGGAACCGTATCCCGATCCAATTGCATCTCCTCTTCCATTTGGTTGGCCTCAGCATCCTGGTTCTCGTCAGAAATATCAGGCAGGATCTCATTTTCACCAGGCTTGATGTCTGACTCGACACCCTTGTTCTGATCAAGGCCTTGAGCTTGTTCCTCACTGGCTTGACCAAGTGCCTGGGTATCTGCTGCGTCGTCTTGGTCTGCCAGGTGTTCAAAATCGGCGTCGGTCATGTCGGTATCCTGTGGCAGAGGCTGGGAGTCTTCTTCCTGATGGGAGGCATTCAAAATCTCCTTCTGTCTACGGTGCCACTGTTCGAGTATGTCACCCATCTTCTTGAATGCCTGTAGTTGAGGGTCATCTGGAGAGCTATCATCTGCACCCCCAGTGTCTCGACTCCGTTTGCTTTCTTCACTGTCCTTCGCAGCACCAGTCTGTTGCTCAGTATTTGACGACGGGTCTGTAGAGCCGCTTTCTTGCTGGGCATCACCAGATGTTCCTTTTTCATTGCTCTGGTCTTGTTCAGCAGCAAGCCCACCAGTGACAGCTTCGCTCGGAGCAGCCTCCTCTCCAGCAGCCTCATCTTCGGCCTGTTGCGTTAAAAATGGATCCTCTTCAGGTTCTTGAGGCTCATCTTCACCAGGCACTTCAGCCTCTTCATCATCCGCGCGCCCTTCAGTGGGCTCCTCCTCATTTTCCCCTTCTTCCCCTTCTTCGCCTCCTTCATGCTCCTCCATGGGTTGATCGAGTTTATCCTCATGCTCTTCGACTTGTTCATCTCCAAGGTCAGGCTCCATATCAGACATACCATCCATACCATCATCACTACCAGCATCTTCACCCTCCTTTTCATCACCATCCAGCTGCATTTCCTCCGGGAGATCGAGCGTTTCTTCCTCCTTGGTATGAGGATCCGTCACATCCATTTCTTCGCGTCCGACAGCCTCGCCTTCATCCTCAGGAGCCTCCTCTTCACTCTCTTCCTCGTCATTTTCTTCGTCACCGTCCCCTTCTTTCTTCTCTTGGTCCTTCTTCTGTTCTTGAGCCGCTGTTTGATCATCGGCTTCGGAGACTCCCTTGCCTTCTTCATTCTCGGTCTCTTTCTGCTTATCATCATTGGCACCGTCCCACATCTTCTCATCGACTGCGCCCGGATCAAGGTCATTGACACTACCAACTTCATCGTCGATATCCTCTTCGCCTTCTTCTTCACCGCTCTCGTCCTCTTTTTCTTCTCCTTCTTTCTGATCAGTGGTGTCCGCTTGGAGGTCTTCCTGGTCCATGTTCACTGCATCGGCAGAATCGTCCATTTCGTCATTCGGGTTCTCGTTCTTCTCTTGCGCAAGCTCAGACAAGTCTTCGTCATCGCCAATGTCTTTGCTAATATCTTCAGCACCCTCACCTTCACCCAGGCCTGTGCCGCTCTCCATCTTTCCCGAATTATTTTCTTCGGTGGAGGCCTCGGCTGGACTGCAAAAGCCCTCGGAAGCGACCTGCGTGAAGGACTTTGCGAGAATATATGACATCTTGCAGGATTCTCGGTGGACACTCATGAATCTTTCGATCAGACCTTTGCAGATAGCATAGTAGGTGTTCGTAATCGGCAAAACACTGGCCAACAGAGCCGAGGCGATAGACAGACTAGAATTTGTTTCCAGGTTCTGGAGCTGTACAAGAACAGACTGGATGGACCTGTTGATTTCGGACAATCGACTGGCTTTGATTGTTCGCGTGAAGAAATCGTCACTTCGGGAAAGCAGTCCGGTGCTCTCCATTGCAGATGAGACCTTGTTAATGTTCTGCATTCCGACAAGCATCTTGTCGACCGCGGACAGAAGAGATTTGTCAAAGGCCTCAAGTGGCACACTTTTTTCGACAGACTTGTCATAAGATGCCAATAAGGTGTTATCAATCCACGGTATGATTTGATCCAAAGCGAAAGCAAGTTCGGGGCGCGACTGGTTCCAGGACAACAGATCCGTGCGTAGTTCACCCAGGCAAGAGTTAGCGTTCGAGAGAACGTCCAGGTGAAGCTGAGAAGTGACGCCAGAAGGAATCTTGGGCAGGGTTTGTAGGAGCTGGTTGTGATGGGAAAGGTTATCCTTCCACGTCCGCAAGCCTCTGGAGATTGGCGAAGCATCTTTTCCACCAAATTTGGTATGGACTTCAATGATTGACGCAGCTAGGCCGAGGATTGGGATCAGCCAAGCCACTGTGTAAGACATGGCCTCTTTGTCACCCAGATTTGTAGCGGAAGTTTCGGTGATTGGCATGGGCTTAGAGGCCCAAAGACTTGAGATCTGCGCGAGCGTTGATTTGAGGGATTCCAGTTCCAGAAGCGAAGGGAAGATGAGCTCTCTTTGTTTGCGGGCGATGAAAAGCAGGTATTCGACTGAACTGATACTTCGGAACACTTCAACGTTGCTAAGTTCTTCAGAGTAATTTCGTGACGCTTGACGGGCACGGGGCACGAGGTCCAAGAACCTGTGGAAGTAACAGTCGGCACTTTTGGTGAGCTGGAAAGTCGAAGCAGCCAGATCGGATGCTGGAAGAGTAGCCAGAACCTGGGCAACAGAGGATTGTTTCTCAATCAGACTGACGCCGACATTTCGCTTAACACCCATCTCGAGCAATTGGCGAAGCACTTCAGCATAGAAACGACGTTTTTGGGTCTTCAAATGTTGAACGTCGTCTTTATTCTCCTCGGTCAGAGTCTTTGGAGTCTGAGACTTGAACTCCTTGATGCTGTCGATGACAAATGTCATGAATTCATTCAATTCCTCAGAGATATCGAACTCGTTGGATAGAGACTCGTATAAGGCTCCCATGTTCTTGGCTGTACTATCCGAGTTCTTGAACCGGGGTGCTCTCTGCTCCCAAAGACCGGAATTATCCTGGCAAAAGGCCAATGCTTCAGGGATGAGAGCTGTCGGGAGAGGAAACTCTTGATGTGCGAGCACATTGGACTCCTCGTCGCTGGGTTCTGGCATCCCTTGCTGAAGCAAAGACTGAGCCGACTGGGCCAGAATTTCACGGTATTTCCGAACGACCTTGAACAGTTTGTGGTGCGAACGTCTGGCACTTTCCTTCAGAGCAACAATGTTTGTGTCTCTCCAACTTGCCAGCTGGATCTGCTCCTTGATGTCTTTCTCCAACGCCGACCGTTTGTCAGAGAGAAGCTTACCTACGGCGGGCTCGAATGGTTTGAGGTGTTGAAGGAAATTGCCTAGTGCAGAGGCAAGTTGGTTCAAGGCCGGGAAGTCCGCCACGTAGACATGGAGCAGTGACCGAAAATCAGATACAAGCTGCATTCTCCGCTTGAATTGGCCGATAGTTGTCGACATAAAGAACTGTTCAAGGGTCGAGATAGTTTCCTGGATATGATCGCTCATATCCTCCTGGCCAGAGGCGGCCATTTGGATCGGAGCCGCAAAGATTGCTTCGTAGGCAATGAACCACCAGGAACTCACGTCCTCATTGCATTTCTCGTTCTCGATATCCAAGAGCCTTGCCCAAGTTGATAGTTCAAGGCGTCGCCAGCTGATTGTCAGGCTTGTAATCTCATCGTAAAGAGAAGCTGCAGAGTATTCCTTGCTGGCCACAAGCTGCCACTCGTGTACCAGTGCGTGAAGCTTCTCGATCTTCGTGATGAATTTGGCGACAGGCTCTGCGTGCCTGAACTGTAGGATCTCTTTGCAGCATGCGATAACGTCTTGTATCACAGCGTGTTCTGGCCAGGCTTTCTGAAGTTGAATGAAGCGTGCCATGACAGAGTGCGTCAGCGATACAAGCTTCTTGGCTTCGGCAGGATTGGCATCGGTGTAGAAGTTGTAATTCTGCCTGGATTCCGAATCACCTTCCGCTAAAGCATTCTCAAGAATCATTAATACTCCAGGGAGATGCTCCTTTGGCTGTACCGGTGAGACCGATGCAGCCCCTTTCGACCAAATGGAGCCAAGGAGTAAAGCTGATTGCTTGACAAATTTGGACAGGGTAGCTTCGCTATTTTCGGGCGCAAAAAGTTTGGATTGAAGAGCGGCAAGACGAATTGAAATAGCCCTTGGGTCAATACGAGCTTTCTCGCAATCGTCTTCGGCTACCTCTTCTTCGTACGTAGGGAAGAGCTGCTGTAGTTCTTGTTCGTTAACATCCTCACTGTCTTCCCAGGAGCCCCTGTAGCGATACATCTCGGACTTCTTCGCCTCATCTTCTTGGTCCTCGGTCAGCTGGGTTTTCCACAGCTGATGGAAATCCTCAAGGATCTTTCTGAGTGAATCACGGCCATCACGAGTGCGCAAATAGGTCGAATCAACACTCTGCGCCACTTCAAGAGCGGATAGTTCCTGGAATCTCACGTCCACGAAATACCTTGAATTAAACGAGAGTTTGTGAATGAGGCGATCTGAAGTAGGACGCATCTTGCTCCCGAGGAAAGGCGTCGTCTCACTGACCGCTCGCACGATTTGCAATTCCGTAGATTCGGGGACTCGGCTCGAGGCCAGAAAAATGCCGAAATCGAGCATCTGAAGGAAGCGAACAACGGGAGTCGTGATATCATCATATGACCGGTAGTTCTTGCTCAAGCGTTGGCTCAACTGGTGGATATTGTCACGCATGAGATTCAATTCTCCTCGGTGTTGGTCATTGTCTTTGACAGATAGAACCATCGTTTCAGGGCGTCTTTCAAGGACGGAGTTAATCAAGTTAGAGAACTCTGCTTGGAGAAGACCGATGTCGGACTCTGCTGGCCGAGTGACTGTCGTAGGGGGAGGTGCAACACCAAGCTCACGCAGCTCATCTTGTACCAATTTGTGGCGAAGGTTTGTCGGATTTCCAGTGAATTCCAGCTCAAATGACGAGATCGTCTGTGACTTCATTTCAAGCTCAGAAACACGTGCGCCATGTCGTTTCCTTTGAACCACCAAGGCCAGAGAGGGATCGAAAGGTTTGTCGGGCACGAATAGACGAAGGAAGATGCTTGCTAGTTGAACTGCAGCCATGCCAACCGATTGAACCTGTCCCTCAAGATCATGGGCATCCGCTGTCAAGAAGTTAATGAATCTGGCCAAAGTCGTTGAGGTTGAAGTGCTGAAGTAATGATCAGCGGGGAGGGAAGCTTCCATTCTGAGATCAAAGGCCGGCTGTCCCTCGTGTGAACCCTGTTGCTCAATTGTCTCCAACACGGCGATCATATTCTTTAGAGCAGGGGCATCCAGAAGGTCTCCATGGCACACGAGCAATTCTTTCGCCAGTTTCGCCAACAGTCGTCTAAGAGCAGCGGTCTGGTTCACGGAAGCCTGATCGGTACTCGAGGACAATGCCCGGGCTAGAATTTCTTTCTCGACTTCGAGCATTTCCATCTGTCCCAGAGTCGCGGCATTTATGGATGTGAGTTTGTCCAGTAAAGAAAGAGAAAACGTGCCACTGATGGCTGGTGCAATTTTGAACGGAGAGCCATAACCAGCAAACAGCGAAAGCCGATGAAGAAGATCTGGGATTTCCGCCTGTAATTTGGATGTGTCGATAGGCTGAGCTCGCCGACTCGCCAGCAGCGGTAAAGTTGTCTCGATGGAATCGTCACTAGTACCGGAAACTCGCCAAAGGGCTGGAATATCTTGAAATTGACAAAGCAACTCGAAACTGCTGGAGAAGTACGGTGTCTGTGTGAGATCAAAACTGCGTACCGCGTCCTTCAATTCAGTGACAGCCTGTTTGAGCATTGGAACGAGAACGTTTCCGTCAGCTCCATCGAGGAGGATTGCCCGCTGTGCGTCAATTAGAGAATTCCGCAGTTGACCTAGCTGAGGCAGTTTGAGGCGAGAATTCAAGGCAGAGGCCGCAAATTCAGATACAATGGATTCGAGGTCCATCAGAGCTTTGAGTTGCTCTTGAGTAGACGGTGTTGCTGGCCTCCATGATTCCCACATCCTTTGCATGCTAAGTCCTGTGGTCAATGTCCAGCCTGCGTGGAAGAGTTTAAGGGCCTGGTACAGGACAGCAGCTAAAGGGGCAAGAATGGGCAAAGATTCGGTCAAAGAGGCGCATAACTCTCGGCCAATCTGCAGATATATCTGAAATTCGCCTTCATTCACAGACTGCACTTCTGTCGCCTTGTAGATGTCCCAGCAGAAGCTCATTATGGCCCGGAGCGATGACACCATCTCAGGGACGCGGGGAGCACCTTGATCCAAACTCTGGATGAAGTTATAAAGTGCTTGACCACAATCGGCAATAAACTGGCCCACAGGTTGCGTGGAATCCTTCATCAGCGCAGGTATTCTCTTTGAGGCAAGGGAACGTTCTATGCGTGTCATCTGGCTCGGCTTGAGGAGCTTTGCAGATTGATCGGCGCGTTCCAAGTCTTGCTTCAAGTAGTAAAGATCAATCTTGATTTCTTGTAGATAGGCGAGGATCACAAGTTGGGTTTGAACATCGCCAGTTCCAACGATTGAACCGAGTGGCTCGTTGACCAACGGATGGATGGGCTGCAGGGGTCCTCCAACACTCAGTGTGGCGCCTCCCAATACAACCTCATTTTGGATGCAATCAAAAGGCTGCCTTTGAGTGTTTTCTTGCGCAACGGAGATGTACCGATCGAGGACAGGCAGAAGGGATTCTTGGTGTAGCACATGAAGGGCACTGGACTTGGAAAAGCTCAAAGAATTCTGCAGACAGATCAAATCTGTGGTAGAGAGATGATCCAGATGTACCGAGAAGGAATCCTTCAAGTTCTCATTTGCGGCGTCCGAGTTGAATTCCCAGATCGATCTCAGTCGATAGAGGAACGATTCAGAAGAATAGGATGGTCCCGGCTGGTAATTGTGATGATCGGCTTCCTGAGGCAGGAAACAGATCTCTATACATCTGTTCCGCATTGCGCGGGACAGTTCTCCATGACGAGGGTCCATGGTCAGGAAAAGCCTGAAGTCAGGGTGAGGTTTGATAACTCGGGCCGACCCATCCTCTGTCCGCTGCTCATTCAGGATAAGCGTGCCATTTGGCTCAGTCAGGGAATTCAATCTGTCAAGAACCGACGGATTGCACAGGTTCGCATTGTCAAGAACAACCCAGTATCCATTTTGTACGGCCTGCGTGAGCACACCCTCCGTCCACTCAAACCCAACCCTCATCGTCTCCGTGCGCTCCGAGGATTCGAGCAGCTGGCGGGCTCGAGTAAGGAGAATATCCATATCTGGGCTCGCGTATGATTGACTCAGTGTGGAAAGTGCCGAGAAAATAGTGCGTAAAGAGACATCTTGACTCTTGATAACCTCGTAGACTTCAAGAAAGACCGCAACGGCAGATGCCTCTTCTCCTGATGAGTGCGCCATGATGGCGTGACGTTGGAGAAACAGAGCGAGGTCTTGGACTAGAGACTCAATTTCCCTCTTGATGTCCATTTGCTCAAACCCACCGATCAGGTCCATGGTATCGGTTTCCGCACTCAAGGCTAACTCGATCAAATGAGCACCGCCAACGGCAGCAAGTTTTCGAATCAATGTTGTCTTGCCGCACCCCGATGGCCCAACTAGAATACTTGGCCATGATTGCTCTATGCACAGGATGAGGGACTCAAGGACTGATAAATCCTTTGGAACAACCCTCATATGGGCGTCCGAAGATCTCTGTAGTACCGGGTCTCTGTTCAAGACACCCAATCCAACTTGAAAGTATTGAGGTGTGAGGTTGTGGTAGAGATTTCTTGCATCACTCGTCGTATCTCGGAAGATGCGCTGGTACAACTGGGTGACCAGAGAGCGATCTTCTGCGCTTCTGAATCGTTGGGATATTACAATGTCAAGGAAATTCTTGGTGGGTATTTGCAAGCTTCCACGGTCTGCCAACTGCAACCACCGTTGGATGTCTCGCAAGTTTACCTCCCAAGGGCCACCAATCGCGCCTAGACGCCGTTCTTGGACAATAGCTTTGTTCAGCGTCGAAATGAAGTCAACCAGTCCGGCAGTTTGCTCCGAGGGGCTACCAGGGAAAAGTCGCGTGCAGATCTTCTTCAAATCGACGTCTGTGAAGCTGTCAGCATATACAACGGTGAAACGGTTGACAAATGATGCAGGAAGACCCTTCCTTCCTCCTCCTTGATGATGGGGATTCTGTGCAGCAAAGAGAACAAAGTCTGGGTGTCTCTTGAATGTTTGATCAAGCTCGGCAATGTAGACCTGCTGGCGATGATCCAGACAGGAGTTCAGACCTTCAAGAACGGATTGAGAAGCCAGATTCATCTCGTCGAGCAGGACCCAGTCACCGCGTTGCATTGCTTGTAGGTACGGGGCATCTCGCCAGGCAAATTGGCCGACATCGCCTCCTTCAACGGGAACATCTGAGCCAAAAAGATCGCTGAGATCTGTTTGCTCTGAGAGGTTGATTCTAGTCAGCGGCTTTCCAAGAGCTCTGGCGAGCGCTGTGACGAGTGTGGTTTTGCCTACGCCGGGGCTTCCCTCGAGAAGAATTGGCTTTGACGACTGTAACCCACGCGCAATCCTGACCGAATTGGCGATAGTAGTGGGCGCATCCATGATGAACTGGGGATCGGGCATCGCATCACCATTCATGGGAAGGGAGAAAGGGCCCACGCGCAGGGCACCGTTGTCGATTGAAACGGTTGATGTCTGCATGTAGATTCCCGCAGCATCGACCTGGAACAGTTCACCCAGCTTCTTAAGACACAATGCACGGTTTCCCTCGAGGTCATGAAGTGCCACTGCAAGCATTGCAGCAGGATTTGCCCCCAAGGTATCGATAAACACCATCGCGGCACCGTGCACGACGGCAAATATGGGATCCGAACCGTGGCATTTGTTGATGAAATCCACCCAGCCGAGCAGGTCACGGATTGAAAGAGAACTGATCGACGAGGGTTGGAATGTTTCTTTGAACCACTTGGCGAATTGAAGCATTGTCTTTGGGAGATTCTCGAGGCTCAATTCAAGCTTCATGCTCAGGATAGGCAAGATATCTTCGTCTTCAGATAGCTGCGGTGCCCAAATCTCAGTCATTCTGTTCCTGAGGGCCGCAGAGAGTTCTCGCTTTCCATAGTCGCCTCCAGGATTCATAGTCGAAAGGAATTGGAAGCCCTCATCAGCCACGACCATGGAATCAATAGGGCCTTTCTCCGCAAGCAAAATTGACCTGTGCGGCTCCAAGACGCTGTTTAGTCTCTCTAGAACCGAGTCATCGGCCAGAGATACTTCATCCAAAAGAAAGAACTGTCCAGTCTTCATGGCAGTGATGAGACTTCCGTCAGACCATTCAAACAGGGCATTGGAACGCGCAATGTTCTTCTGGATTTTCTGTACGAGAGCGGCGTCAAACGACTCAAGGGTTTCCTTTGACAAGGACTGGAAGGCTTGGGTTAACTCTTCAAGTGAGCCTTGGTCGTGCATTCCGTCTCCAAGCACTTTCGTCAAGTCATCCAGGAGTTTCTTCTCAAGTCCTGCCCTGTTTCTGATAGGTCTTTGAGCACCGATCAGATCCCCGGTCTCCAGGTTGACATGCGCGTTCACGATGAAGAGCTCTCGTCCAAAAACCTCAGCAACTGCCTGACAAAGCTGAGTCTTGCCGCAACCAGTTTCTCCTACAAGGAGAACAGGCTCGTTGTTTTCCAGCGCCCTTGACACGAGAACAAAAAGACGCCTCATGGCCTTTGTCCAAACAATATTAGGCGGTAACTGTTTCAGACTGGAGGAAACCTTCTCCAACTGAGAAAGGCTGTAGATGGCCTCTTCGTCGATACGGAGCCTCATAACTTCTTCGATCACTCCCTTAACAGCTGCACGTTCCTGAGGATTACGAACACGCTCAGCCAGCAGCATAAACCCATTGATGGCAAGTTGTTCTCTGTCGTCAGCTGGCCGAAGGGCCCATCTGAAAAGGTCACGTAGGGTTGCAAAGCTGTTCTTCTGCTCGAACAGTCGATTTGACTGGCGCAACAATGATAACTTCCGATATACAGCCACTATTCTTGAGCAAAATGAGGGTGCAATTTGTGACCGCTCTTTCAGAATGAATTCCAGCTCGCTTTCCGGGATATCGTCGAAATGCAGCTCGAGAAAACGGTTGCGGAAAGCACGAGAAAGAACCTTTCGTCCACCGTAAAGACCAGCGGGGTTCTGGGTTGCAAATAGCATGAAGTTGGGATGCGGATGGACGACCTCCTGCGTTTCTGGGATAAAAAGTTCCCGATTATCGTCTAAAAGGCGATTCAATGCTTCCAGGACATCTGAGGGGGCCAAGTTGAGTTCGTCCAGGACAATCCAATATCCGTTTCGGAGAGCTTCAACCATGATGCCTTCTTGGTATCGCAGAGTACCGTCGTCAGCGGACACATAGGAACCCAAGTATTCTTGCAGATCGGTATGTTCGTGATTATTGATACGAACGAACTTGTTGCCGGAGACTTTGGCGAGGTACTCAATCATGCTGGTCTTTCCTGCAGAGGTTGGCCCTTGTAAAAGCACGGGAAATCGCCGCGTTGAACTCGCTCTAACGAGATTCTTGAGATTCTTCTCAATAAAAGGAGTCACAATATAGTGCGGTTGCTCCTCAGGGCTTAAAGGGCCTTGCCTCATCCAGTAATGCTTAAACTGCACATATGTATTTCCATCGGTCGGGGGCTTGGGGGTCTGGCCAAGAAGAGATCTCGCATTCTTTGCATTTCCAAATATTTGTCTTTCGAGGAGAGGAAGTAACAACTGCTCTGACTCTTGGCCGAGAACGGTGAGGAAACTCATGGAGAACCCTTCATAAATTGCCCGACGCAAACCGTAAATGTGGGCATGGTCAATAACATAGATCAAGGTACGGACCAACGTGCGTATGCTGAAGTGTGGTCGTTGACCAGCTCCATCAGTGAGCTTGTTCTCGTTACTGAGCTTCTTGACTTCCATGTACAGTTGGCCAAGGTCCGGCGCCGCTCGGAGATCACTGATCGCCAGGTCACCAAGATACGTCTTGATGAGTGCTAACAAGTCATCCAAATCAGTATCAGGAGAAGGCACATAAAGTTCGGTGAAGCGAGAGCGAAGCCCAGGTGGCAGATCCCTTTTACCAGCATCAGTTGCAGGGTTCATGGCTCCGAAAATGCGAAAGTCTGGATGGCCAAACACCCTTTCAACATCACCGGCTTCGGAGAGCAAGACAGAAGGAGACCCTTCGGTACCATGGTGTAGAAGACTAGCGATATTTTCCAGGGTATCAGGTGAGGCAAGGTTAATTTCATCGAGTAACACCCATTCTCCATTTCTCAAGGCCCGGACAATCTTTCCCTGGACGAAGGCAAAAGCGAACTTTGCGTCGCCTTGGGATACTTGAACCTCAAACTCGCCGAGCTGGGCTGCGAAAGCTTCCCATCTTTGTCGTAGATGCTGATATTTAGGAGAGTCAAGTTTTCTCTTCTTAGATGGCTGCTCCTCGCTACCAGCGCTTGCAGGCGGGCTAGGCTTGAACACACCGTTCGCCAGACGAACAGCTTCATGCCATAAAGTGACCAGACGTACCCAATTGCCCGCGGTGGCGCTTTTCGCGACAGAAGACAGGAATTTCTGGTTCTTTTTTGCGGAGAACGTAAGCTCGAAGAGTTGGTTAAATTCATCGAGCATTGGAACGGCCATTGTACGGATGTTGACCGGCTTGAAACCGCCAAGAAGATCGGTACTCTCACTTTGTTGGGACAGATTGACCACCGTCAACTTCTGTCGCATCAGAGTGGCTAGCTGTTGAATTACTGTTGTTTTGCCAATACCTGTTTCACCCACAAGAAGCACTGGTTCAGCCATTTGTACAGCGGCACCGACCTGCTCCATGATCTTGAGAGCTGCTCTTGTTGAAGCAAATCGGGAAGAAGCACCGGCACGCTTTTGTGCTGAGCCACTCGGTACTCGAATCTTCTGGCAAGTCTCTCTTCCAATTGCGATCGTATTCCCTTGATCGGAAAACGTGGGCGTTCGTTCGTGGAGGCAGAACTGTGCCCTTTGAGGCGACAACTGTAAGGCTTCCGCAACCACGGCAGCAAGCGAGTTCTGCAAGGACCTTTCAGGCAGATACTTGAGGAAGATGTCCACCACGTCCAGGAAGATTTCGTCTTCAGTACCCTCTGGGGTAGCCTCATATCCAGTCTTGGCACCGAGGCGTTCGATTCGTCTATGCAGACGACTGCATAGTTTGATGAGGTCGCGGAACCCTGGAGTCCTACCCTGGGAGCTTTTGATGGCTAAACTTCCGTGAAACGACGCGCAGACTCTCTGGTATACATCCATGATCAAGGGGACCCGAGATTCGAGCAAAGGATATCTTTGCGTAATCACGTCTCGCACCTCAGTGGTAGACAGGGGATTAACCTGCACCCTTCTCCAAAGTCTGCTTCCCAACATGGTAGTGCTTGGGCCGATTTCTTCGCCTGCGATGTTGTATGATGATTTCATGGTGGCGATGATCTTAAAGCCATCGGCACACTTGATACGCTCCTTCCTGCTGGCTATAGTCAATTCGCCCTTCTCAATGATGGGAAGGATCAGGCCCATGACTTCGGACGGAGCCCGATCCAAGTCCTCGATTAACACCCAGCGGCCTTCTCTTGCAGCCTTGGTCAATACACCTGGTTGCCAGGCAAAAGAGCCCGTACCAGGGGATGTTGCATACATTCCCAGCAAGCTCTTCGCGTCAGTCTGTTCATTCAAATGAAGAGTGACCAAAGATTCCGCCTGCCCCATTGCCGAAGCAATGTCGTTGACCAGCGACGTTTTCCCCGAATTCGGCAAACCCACTAGCAATATAGGCTCAGAACTGAGAAGCGAGGTCGCAATCTTCCGAAGATTACCGACGGTGGTGGGGGTCTTGACAATAGAGGACGTAAACCGGACGGTATCTTTCAGTCTTGGGATGAGGACACCGCAAATCTCGGCTGTTCGACTGGTGAAATATTCTTTCAAATTCTCGGCTTGAGACAAAACCTCTGGTTCTGACCAAGACAATCTATTACGACGAAACTTTGCTTCCAGGGCATCCCATCGGCGTTCTTCCCACAGACCCAGGAACCGATAATCGATTGTAATGCCTTCCCATTCCGCAAAGATCGGTTCGTCCCCCACATTTTTCAGGACCATCTTTTCCGTCGCAGCGTCGGCAGCATGCATATAGAAGGCGAAGCATCGTACCGCCAGGTATCGTATGGATCGATCATGGTGTCGGAAGAGAGCCTGCAGTTGAAGCGGTGACACCGAGGCAGAAAACGTTTCGAGATCGTAGGAGAAAAGCCTAAAGAGCGCCAAAAGCAACACATGGAGGGTATCATCATCAAGCTGTAGAATTTCTAACTCCTTCGACCCCACCAATGCAGACAGAGGTCCCGCTCGGGATAGCGCATATTGTCTCGCAAAGGATCGCAGATGTGGTGCAAACGGTAACACCCGGGAAAATGCTGCAAGTACACCCGCCTGGTTCGTATGGGCATCCGAGATGAGCCATCGAGCGGCCAGATCAACGAATATCGGCTGGTACAAGTTGAAAAAGGTCTCGGTGCAGCCCGGTTGGAGAGCGCCCAGCGCAAGCGCGTTCAGGTATTGAGTCCCAGAGGCAGAGCGGATGAGTCCAACGATCTCACCAGGCAGCTGCCCCATAACCTGGGACTCATCCAGAGCCCCCTCGTAGGCAGGTATTCCATTCATTGTCAGCCCTGCCCTTCGAGGAACCCTTCCTTCTGCAGCAAGAGTTGCAGCAAGCTGGAAACGGCAGGATCTTTTTTTTTGTTTTCTGCCGCGATAAGATGTGCCGTTGCTCACCGCCTTTGTTGGCCTCCGTACGGAGCTGGGATCAACGTCTCCGGCGAGTGATTCTGGAACGGCCTTTCCTTCTGGAGCAGGCAGACGAGGATGATAGCAGCGAGCAGTGGTGACTGCTGTACGACACGCCATGTCTGGTTCCGGGTCCGGTCTGGAGATTGAGAGCGACCTGCATTCTGCGTCGGCGAATACAGACACTCCGAGTCGCGATGCTGGGAGTGGTTCAACAACAGAAGGATTGCAACAGCCGTACGTGGCAGGTGGTTCTGGTTCTAGCTGATGTCTTTCAATGGTACTGACATATCTGTGAAAGTATTTCATTCAAGCGCAAACAGAAGAAGCGGACTACGTCGCGATTTAGTCTCTCGGACATGTTTCCCCGCGCCACGATGTTTGGATATTCGCCGAATGGACGAAAGCGCGAGGCGTCGCCGATGAGAGATTACGACCGACCGGGTGGAAATTCACATTCTCATACGAATCCGCAGAAAGACGGGGGTCTCCTGGATTGGTACGTGGAAGGACCCGGTCGTCGGGTCGGCTACGATGATCTTACAGCCATCGATTGGATCTTCGAGTATACGAAAGAACGACAAAGAAAGCGTCTGTTATATTCAAACAGTCAAGGGATCACAGGACAACTTCGCCAACTACTGGATGCCAGCAATGTTTGGGTGGTCTTGGTCGCTACGGGAATCGCAGTGGGGATCATCGCCGCAGCTATTGACATAGCAACGGATTGGTTGGGGGACATCAAGACCGGCTATTGTAAAAATGGCCGGGGAGGGGGGAAATTCTACTTGAACAGAAACTTCTGTTGTTGGGGTCATGACGGTACGTCCGGTCTCTCCTATACAGGACAGCCATACAAAGTGGTACACGCTGACATGCCTACTGTTGCCAGACTTAAACGAATGTCTTGACTGGACACCATGGAGGAAGGCATTGGGCGCTAACTCTACCGGAGGAGGGTACAGTGTGGAGTATCTATTTTATGTCCTCTTTTCCGTATGTGGCCTATTCCGTCTGTCTGTGGTGAATATATTTACTGATGGCTTAGGTGCTCTTTGCTGCCTGCGCCAGCTTTCTCGTCCGCACCTATGCCATCTATGCGAGACACAGTGGTATTCCGGAGATCAAAACTGTTCTCGGTGGCTTTGTGATCCGGCACTTCTTGGGTACATGGACTCTTGCAATCAAGTCCCTGGGGCTGGTGGGTTTGTCATTCTAATCAAAGCCTCCGCTAGCTGACATATTCTTGATTTTAGTGCCTTGCAGTCGCATCTGGAATGTGGCTGGGTAAGGAAGGCCCTCTTGTGCATGTTGCATGCTGCTGCGCCAATCTCATGATGAAGCCTTTTGATAGTTTGAACCGCAATGAAGGTTTGTTCCACTGAATCCACTATCTTGGAGAATATATGCTAAGAGTGTAGCGAGAAAGCGTGAGGTCCTGTCTGCCGCTGCCTCTGCGGGGATATCTGTGGCCTTCGGCGCACCGATTGGAGGAGTACTCTTCAGCTTAGAGGTATGGACCCTTGCTTGCCTGAATAGACCTTATGAAGACTTACGCGCCTCCAGCAATTATCATATTACTTTCCAGACAAGACCATGTGGCAAAGCTTTGTGTGTGCCATGCTCGCAGCCGTTACTCTACAAGCGGTCAACCCGTTCCGTACTGGAAAGATTGACCTCTATCAAGTCAAATATACCAGAGGATGGCATCGCTTCGAGATCATTCCGTTTGTTCTCCTAGGCATTTTAGGTGGGCTTTATGGGGCCTTTTTTATCCGCCTGAATATCAAGATTGCCAAATGGCGAAAATCCAGCAGCAAGATCCACCCACTCGTTCAAGTGGTCGCCATAGCTATCCTGACAGCTTTGATCAATTATCCGAACATCATGATGAGGACGCAGAATTCCGAGCTGGTCCATTCGTTATTTGCAGAGTGTGACACAGGAAAGGATGTCCTTGGGTTGTGCAGAACCGGAGCAGCATCGGTGGGCACGATTACCCTTCTGCTTTTGGCGGCAGTCTTAGGCTTCTTCCTAGCGTCAATAACATTCGGACTAGATATCCCTGCAGGTATCATTCTTCCCTCTGTCGCAATCGGTGCACTCTATGGTCGCGCTTTAGGCTTGACTTTCAAGCTGTGGCAAGAGACATATCCTCAAGTCTTCCTCTTTGATAGCTGCGAACCAGACGTCCAGTGTGTCACACCTGGAATCTACGCGATTGTCGGTGCTGCATCTGCTCTGGGGGGTGCAACTCGAATGACAGCGTCGATTGTGGTTATCATGTTCGAACTGACAGGTGCATTGACCTATGTGATTCCAATCATGATCGCAGTCATGCTCTCAAAATGGTGCGGTGACATTTTTGGGAAACGTGGCATCTATGAATCATGGATCCATCTCAATGAGTACCCCTTCCTCGATCACCGAGATGACACTGCACCTCCAGATGTTTCCGCAAACAAAGTCATGACTACTGTCGACGATATGACCATCATCCCGGCTACTGGCCATACAATTGGCTCACTCCAGGGTCTTCTGGAGGTCACACCGTACCGTGGCTTCCCTGTTGTCTCGGATACCACAAATCCTATCTTGCTGGGCTACATATCTCGCAATGAACTTGCCTTTGCCTTGAAATCGGCTACGTCTGCGGCCGAACGCAACCTGCCGGAGGAAACTCAGGTCTTCTTCGCACATCAGCCGTTCGCGGACCCCGTGGAGACTCTCGATCTCCGGCCATGGATGGACCAAACCCCCATCACGCTCAACAGTAACGTCAGCTTCCTGATCGTGCTGCGGATGTTCCAAAGACTTGGTCTTCGATATGTCTTGTTTGTCAACCGAGGTATACTCCAGGGCCTGCTCACGAAAAAGGACGTCTGGTCCGTTCTGAACGGCGCAGAAAGTCGCCGGGCGAAGGGACTCGGTGACGGTGTATATCGGGATGGAAATATTGCCGAAGAGCAAGGCCTACTAGGGGCTGATAGAGAGCACCCTCTTGCCAGTCCTCTTGACCGCCGGCCGTCTCTATAACAGTGCGTGCTGCCTCGTCGATTCGTTTGATACTCATCTCGTTTGGGAGTGGCAGGATATGATCATTTTGGACAATTTCCTTTATTTGTATAATTTCAATCTTCTTTTCTTACATTGCTTGTGCCATTTGAAGTATCTGGTTGTTTAGACATGCATATAGGGTATAATCTTTCATCTCACTTTTGTTGCTTTGGTGTTCAGGTAATATATTCTAAAGATATAAGATATATTTATAACCTAGTTAGTGAAAAGAGTAGGAATAGTGGATAAAAATCATTAACACCATAGCTCTATAGAAAACAAAGGAATCCAGCCTTTTTTAGGACAAGAGAATAGTAGTAATATATAGTATATTCTATTGTTGATTATTTGTCTTTGCTGTCAGTATAAATTCTAGATTCACTGATAAAAAGTAGTGCTGACTCAGCAACATGATATCCCCGGCCCTTTTGTAATCGTCACTGTGCTTTCGCTTCGCCTGCGATAGATGGGAGCCGATCGGAGCAATCGAACTCGACAATGGCCGATCCATTCGAGGTGCGCATGCGCTTTTCGACGCAGCTCCAGCACCTCAGCGCGTCGGTGACCTCGTCGCAGAAAGCCGCCCACTATGCGCTCAAATACCGGGATATGGACGAGGATCTTCACTCGTGTATCTTGGAACAACTGGAAAGGGTAACTTTTTTCCCCCCCTATATATTTTTTATACATAAGGTTATGCTAACTGTTTCTGCTTAGAATAACATGAACAACCGGGCAAACATCATGTATTTCATCGAGCACTTTTGCGAAATGGCCAGCAAAGAGAACCATCTGCCGTACGTCCGGATGATCAGACGAGACATTTTCCGCATTGTGGATGCCGTCGCGCCAGCCGATGGATCCGGCGCCGCGAACGTGAAGCACGTCCGCCGGGTTCTGAACGGGCTACAGAGCAAAGAGATCATTCCCGCGGAGACCGTGGCGGAGATTGACGCCGGGCTGAAAGAACGCGAAACCCACCCGGCCCATCTTGATCTCGAAGCGGAAGAAGGGCAAGAAGGCAGCGGCAAGTCCAAGGGCGGGACTCCACGCGGGTCCAGGACGAACGGGATGCGCGTCGACAAGAGACAGATCGAGCAGCGCATCGAAGAGGATCGAGAGCGCAACAAACGGCTACGGGAGAGTATGTGGGCTGTCAACGGGGACGACGGCGAAGAACATGCCCGCTTCTGGGACGAAACCAGTGATCTCGGCGAGGACGATCTGATCGATGCTCTGGAGGAGTCCACTGAGCGGACTCGAATGGCTTACGCGCAATAAGCTGCTCTTCTACATCTCTTGATTTCCTTGGTTGTATATACTAGGTTCGGGGGCTGGTTGGAGTTACGGTTGAAACAGATCAGCAGCGACTGATATTTAATGAATATAATGATCTTCTACTGGAGTCTAAATACAGGATTTATTCATAGAGAAAACAATCTTGGCTATCGATAAGACACCGCCTTCGGAAAAACTAAGCGCCGGCGGTTTCTCCTTGTCCTGCAGAAATTCTTCAGAAATCGCATGCCGCGGCCTCTTAAGAAGACAAGAGCCTTTGCATCTGCATTGTGTGCTATCTTCCGTGGCGATAGGTTCAAGTCTCTATGTTGTCGCAAATTGTTACGGCAGCAAAAGGTTTATTTTCGAGGGAAGAGTCTCACGCTATTACCTCGTTGGGCCCAACTGATAACGCATCGGAGTTATCCACCATGGTCACGGCAACCAGACGAGGGAAAATCATGGCGGATCGGTCTCCGTCTGAAACGGCGGCTGCTGACTCAAGCCCTGCGACTGGGAAACGGAAGACTCGCACACAGGACGATCAAAGCAGCAAACGGAGGAAGAGAAGCAGCCTGGAGCAGGTGAAGAAAACGCAAGACGGAGCAGAACTGCCCACCAAGGCCCCGTCGTCCAAAACAAAGCATATGAGATTTGATAGCGAGGAGCCCGAATTACCGGTTGATCTCGATGTGGAAGAAGAAGAAGCTTTGGAACCCGCGCAAGATGACCAAGCCAACGAGGATGATAGCAGCGACGATGAGGCCCCCGAGGCGATCACCAACTCTGCCCAACTCTCCAAGATCAAAGAGGCGTCTAAGAAACAAGAGAAGATGAGACAAGCGTGAGTTTCGGGCTGATGGGGTTTCCTTTTTTTTTGGCTTCTTTACATGTTGCTGACTTTACATTTTCAGTCAGGAGCAGGAAAAGAGGGAAAAGAGGCGCCAACTAGATGAACTTCGCAAATCGCAAGCGAAGTCATTAAATCACAGCAAGCAGGGTGTTTCGCTAGTGAAGAAAGCTGCCTCGGACGATATGCTCTCTGAAAGCACGGCAACCCTTCAAGGCTCGACTACGCAAGATGCCCGCACAACAGCCCTTCCCGCGTTCCTTCCCGACGAGATTTTGAACGCCGAGCCAGTTACACAACCCGTCGTTCCCGAGTTTAATTTCGGTACGAAGAAGCCCAACAAACTGAGGTTCCTGGATACCGTCGAAAGGGGTCCCAAAGATGTGAGGATGGGCGATGTGACCATCCGAGTGTTGGATGGGAACTCAACGTCTAAGAAGACGAATCCTTCATTAGCCCCGAAAGCCTCCAAGTCTGGACGCAACGTCAAAAAGAACTGGCTTGAACGGGAACGAAGTACGGCAGGCCTCAATGGAATGAGGAGGACAACCGGCTCTTCTGGATTTGTCCGCAAGAAGTAATCGTCGGGATAACCCCGAGCAGCTGCCGTATCGACCTTCACGGCATCCCGATCTATGCTATCCTCTTGATCTCCACCAAAAGTTTCTCTATAAAGTACCCTACCTCACTGGAAAGCCTTGAGACCACTTGGTCTGACCACAACGGTCTGACCATTTTCGTTTTGGAGTTCAGACAGCTCAACAGCTTCCGCCCAAGTGGAATAATTACCCCCCACCTGGTCAACTAACGAAGAATGAAACAACACCCACAGTGGGTTTGAATGTTTCGGGATCGTGTACTTCAGAAAATATTGTACATAGTAGCAACTGAAAATACTACAAGATATGAAGCAGTGCCTATCTTATCGTTTCCAACAAACACATGGGGATGATTCGCTTGATTATTGGACATAAGCCAAGAAGGTGTAAATACTAAATTCGTTAGAGCTGTAGGCCTGTCCTCAGGCTTTGAATACGGGATGAATAATAATTATTGAAGCTTGGTGCTTGTCCCCATCCGGAGCACTAGTCCCGTTCGGGCCATCCATACCAGAGTGGCAGAATTGGCAGAACTCCGACAGACAGTCTTTACGGAGTAACTCTGTTTTCCTCCTTGCCCTTGGGACTTGCACCCACGTCTGAGCGCCCCCTTTTGCGCCATCGCGGGCTTCGATTGACCGGCTCGTCAATGGGGACTTCTGCTTCATTCGTATCTCCCTGTCACCTCCATTGATCATGGCTTCCACGACAGCAGAGGCAGCACCGCTCCTTCCTCAATACCAGGTTCCGGGGTCGCCCTCCAATACGTCACCGCGATCAAGCCGCCCACCGCGGACGGTCACCTTCAATCCCCTGACCACCATCAGCACATATGGCGGGCCGACGGCGACCGACCCGACGTTCAGACCGCTGCAGACCGGCTCACCTCCCGTTTCCGTCAATGCGCAGAGTCTCTCTAGGCCGAGCGGCCAGCCGATGCTGTCTGCCCTGAACAGCAAGCTGCGACGTCGGAATAGCCACGGCGCACCCTTTAACCCTCCGATCACTTCTCTCCCGGTCGCCCCGAAGATTGGGCCGCAGCGAACGACTAAGAATGCCCAGAAGCTCAAGTTGTTGCCGGACCCGGTGACCGCAGCGGAAGGAGAAGAAGGCTTCGACGAAGACATCCCCCGCGATGTCTACTCGCAAATCACCCGGATCAAGGAACCCACTGCCCGAAGCCATGCCGCAAGGCTGGGCAAAGCAGACCGTGAGAATATGCCCCGAGTGACGGCGTATTGTACGGCCAATTCGTACCGTCTGGAAGGCGTCCTGCGGTTTTTGAAATCACGCTCAAAGACTCGCGGAGCAAACCCGAAACTGTTTGACGAATGTGTCTATTCGCCGTTTGATTATCAGTTCGAAGAAAAGCAGGCCAGGGCTGAGCCGCTACTGAACCCGGAACCGGAATCGAATGACCGCCAATCACTACAGCAACGGAGGCCTCGCGAGCGGAGGTTCTCAGACAGTGCGGTGGAGGTAGAGGACAATACCAAACATCGACGAGAAGATCTCATCGACCTCCATGAAACCAATACTTCTCACGCGGCAGGCAATAGCGCAGGTGACGCCATCTCGGAGGCGCCGCTGCATACAACCACCCCTGAATTCGACACTACGATCCACATCCCCGAAGTATTCCTGTTCGACTACGGGACCGTCGTAATATGGGGTATGACCCCTGCGCAGGAACTGCGCTTCCTGTCTGATGTATCGAAGTTTGCAACCTCGATCCTAAGTCCGGACGATACGCAGGTGGAGAATTTCAACTTCTACTATGCGCGCGAGTACCAGGCTCGCATATACAATGACTTCATCTCCCTGCGCGATCCGCGCAACCATATGACCAAACTCGCCATCTCTCATGCCCTTGCCCAGTCCGTCAAGACCTCGCTCTTTGAAGATCTCGTGTCAGAGACGATCTCAAAAACGGCACCCCTGCCGGCTCAAATCGCACAGACGGGCAGTGTTAACCTCACCCGACGCGAGATCAATATGCAGGTTGGCGAGCTCTTCATTCTACGTATCAACATCCATCTCCAGGGCTCAGTGCTAGATAGCCCCGAGCTGATGTGGGCGGAACCGCAATTGGAACCAGTCTACCAGGCTGTTCGGAGTTATCTCGAGATGGACCAACGCGTGTCCCTCTTGACTGAACGGCTGGATGTTATTGCAGATCTTCTGGCGGTCCTCAAAGACCAGTTGACTCACCGTCATGGCGAATACCTCGAATGGATTGGTAAGTGATATACATGTGGAGTTTCCTGGGGATCTCTTTTTCATTTTTTTTTTGTTTTTCTAATATCTTGCAGTCATTGTCCTTATTGCCGCCGAGATTCTTGTTGCAGCTATCAACATCGTCGTCGACTTATATGCTGGGGTCGAATAAACCAACATTATTTCCATACCTTAAGCTATACAACCCCCATTAAGCCAGCCAGCCATTCCCGATATCGCCCTACCAGGAACTTCGACCGTTCACCCTTAATTAAAGCAAATATTCCCATGTGCGTTGTGTGATAATACATTGACAATAAAAATAATGTTCGGACAGAAAAAACATGGCGTTCTGGTTTTTATTGCAATGGTCGTTTCCTTGAGGGCGCAGTTCTCTCCAATTTCTCTTATGAAGCGTCCAGTTCCCAATCCATGGAATCACTTGTCTGGTCTCTCTTATCAACTAATTAAAGCTGACCGGTGGGTGTTTGATTCTGCTGTTTAGAGTGGTTGTACAGAAACTGTGTCTATCATATCTATAACTCTCTCCCTCCCCATCTTATTCAGTTCGTTGTTATCATCCTTCTATCATTGGAATTTGGAAAGATGGGGCTAGAGAAATCTTAAGGAGAGGGCTTGTCCGATGTTTATACCTAGGTAGTCTATATAATGTTATGCCTATCAGGCCAGCACTATTCAATTTTACGAGTAGCCTTAGTATGTTTCTAAAAAAAATATTCTCCTATTATTACTTTTTTTTTGAAAAAAAGTGGTATAAGTGATTATATCCTTCAAGTAGGAATGATTACAGTCTAAACTGTACACCAGACCTTAAAGATTAACCCATATTCATGCTAGTTACCTATTTCCGCATATAAACCAACAAAAGAATGAACCCTACCCGTGCCATCTAAGGAAAAGAATAAATAAGAAATAATAAGAGGGAATAACAAACAAAAGAAAGAGGAAGAAGAAGATGATGAAGAGAAAATGAAAGAAGGAAAGAAAGAAAGAAGACGCCTAGCTTTCCTCTTTCGGCACCTTGGTATCGATATCCATATCCATGGGCATTGATGAGGGCAGCTGCTCGCCAGGTTCCTCGCCATTATTCTCCTGGGCGTCGTCATCTCCGTGGTCTCTGTCGTTCGCCTCGTGACTCGCAGATTCCATCTCGGGGGCGACCGGGGTCGCAGAACCATTACTGCCAGATTGGACGCGGAACGTCGAGGTCAGTTCTTCCTGTGTGGGCGCCGGTGCGAGACGAGGCAGCGAAGTTCCATTACCAGACGCAGCAGGCGTGGATTCGTTGTTGGCAACCTCATCATCGAGACCATCCATGTTCATGTTGGACTTGCGGGAGCGCTTGATGCGAAGCGGACGTTCTTGGGGCTTAGAAAAGTATACAGTCAATGGACGTGCTCAAAAAAGAAAACCGAAGATCCGAGGCTTTAGATAGGTGGTAGCTTACCGTAGGAGGCTGATCATCTGAGCTTCCTTCCGTCTCGTCATCCAGATACGAGGCAGCATGGCCAGCCGCGGAATCACCACCCGCAGCAATATTGTTTAAAGCAGCCGAGCTTGACATCAAGGCCGCAGCGCGAGCACGTAGCTCTGGACTCAGGCCCACCTGTGCCTCCTCCGCCATGCCGGTGACCTTTGAGAGGCGCTCTAGCAGGATGCAGGACTCGAGTCGCATTTTTTGAATATACTGCCAGCCACGCCGGTTGCGCAGACGCATCAACTCATTTTCAGCCTCGACTTCGTTCAACCGCTTTTTGAGGGCGATGCATTTGCGCCGGTATGCGCTTTCGATACTGGGGGGGTTAGTCGAGGGCAGAGCAGAAGATGTGATGGAAGGTTCCATGGTGGTAGCTGGTCTCCTGTTTATGAGGGGATTTCGATGGACGACACCAGGGTGGTCTGGGGTATCGGTTTTTTTTTCGTTTGTTTGGTTCGAGGACTTTGTATCTGTCAAGAATAAACGCGGATGACCTTGGACGAGGAGCGTTCTGTTTCAGACGGAGACTTCTCCCTATGGTTGATCTGCCTCGAGGCTGTAGATACTGAACGGCGCCGGAAGGAGGGTGGTGGGTGGTTTTCAGCGTATATTGCCTTCCTGACGATGGTTGGCGAGAGAGGGAAGATACAAGCCCTCGTTTCCCGGTCGGTGCTACTGCAATTGCTCGACATATTCCAAATCACCCTCGCTGCTGCCGCCTTTGTGGTGATGTTTCTGCCGGGTGGTTATCAAAAGCGGTGAGGCCAGCCTTGACGGTGGAGTCTGAAATAACACTGAGACACTCAGTCTTCACTCAATATTCACTTGTGTTCTTTTATCATAGAGAATAATAGCTTAAAGGTCTATATTTACTGTGCTATAGTTAAATTTATCCTGATGTGAGTTTCATTAGTTACTGTTCTCTCGCCGCCTTTCTCACTTCACCTGTTTCTTATAGATGTGACGCCATTCATCTGCCAGCTTCGCTGCCTTAGTATGGGGGTATGGATGCAGGTTCATCCTTTGATATACCATCGTCATCAGCTTTCATCAGAATTAGGGATTCATAATTATTAATAATATCCAAATTTCGAAGTATAGTATCTGCAATCCATCTTGATAGAAGAGAATAACTATATAGACTGGAATGGACCCGGATCATCACAGAATAGTGATTCATTACCACTGCATCGCTTTGGGAACCGACCCTCCAGTTTTTGGTTTCAAATCCAATACTACCGACTGACTTGAATCAACTCTCTTCGGCGTACACATGACCTCGAAGAGTTTCTTCCCGAAATGTCCAAACGCCGACGCAATCCCCCCAAGCTGAAAGAGCTCCCTCTCCATCTGGGTGGACTGAAAGGGATAAGTCTGTCCACTGATGCGGACGACGCTGTCGTCGAGATTGATCTCGATCTCTGCACCGTCCTGCGCGGCCTCAAAGAATGCCGGATCCGTCATCCGGATCCCCAGGAGGCCGAGATTGGGCATGTTGCGCGAGAAGATGAAAGCAAAGGACTTGGCGATAACGCATTGGACCCCGCAGCCTGATGTTTAATTAGCAAAAAGCACAACTGTTTTTAAATGACAGTAAATTATCCTATCATCCTACCTAACAGTGCAGAGACGGCTTGCTCTCGCGACGAACCACAACCAAAGGCCGTGCCGGCGACGACGATGTTGAAGCCATCTTTGACCCGTTGCCGAAAGTCAGGGTGCGAGTATTCAAGGCAATGGGCGCCGATGGCTTCGTTGGTTGGGCAGGTGACGAGGAACTCAGCCGGAGCCAGCTGGGTATACATACGTTAGTGAACACCTTTCCCACACTATAACGATCTCTGTGACTGCTGGAGGGGGGGGGGGTTACAGCATCAGTGTCAATAAAGTCGCCGAGGCGATTCACTCTGCCTTTCAGGAATGGCTCTTCCGCGCTTGTTCTAGTACGTGTATTGATAGACTCGGCAACCGTCAAATTTTCTATATGGCTGGCAGTTCCTTTTGTAAATGGTTTCACAGCAGGTGAACCGCTAGGTTCAACATATACTGGGCCGGAGCCTTCATTCAAGGCTTTAGCAGAGATTGGCGCAGCTCGAAGGGAGTTCCAGCGCTCTAGATCAATTGCGCGTAGTAGTGAGTGTGGATCGGTTAGTTTCATATCAAAGGATGATGCGGCTACTGTAGCGGCGGATCCCAGGTTTCCAATCGAGCCTGTAAGTGTCTGTCAGTATGTGTTTATAAGGACATACTGATTAGCTTAGCATACCCTTTCCCATTCGGTTTTCGAAATTTCGATTCTGTGAAGATAACCAGACCTCCCCGACACCGGCCTGGTCGGCGGACATGCCGACACAATAGCTGCACCCAGGGACCCCGAGCTCGAAACCTGCTTCCTCATATATCTCAACAAGCCCTAGCTGGCGCAGCTTGTGCAGAATTGGTAGAGAACCGGGGACGACCTTCCGTTTGCCCTTCTTGACGGGCCGCAGGCCCTGCTGCAGGCCCTGTTCCAGAACGAGTGCGGCCAGGATCAGCTCCTCTTCCGTAGTGGTGCAGGCGCCGATGAAGCAGCCGTCGAGCTCCATGCCTTGGTGCTGTGCAACGGGAACTACATCGTCTGGGCTTGGATACCGGGCGAGAAAGGATCGTACCTGAGCAAGATCGATCTCATGTGTTTCTGCGTACTCTGCATCTTCGTCGGGCTTGAAGTAGACAGAACTCTTCTTGTGTTGGGATAGCCGTCGTTTCTGGACGAAGTCGAATGTTGCTTCATCAGGGACAAACACACCGGTGATACCACCGAGTTCCTACAGATATGAGCCATTTTCCAAGGTCGCTACTAGTCATCCAGTAAGAAATGAATCAAGGTACCGTGGTCATGTTGGCGATAGCAAACCGAGAATCACAAGAAAGATGCCGGACCCCAGGTCCTGTGAATTCCACGACCCGGTCTGCGGCAACGGTGTTTCTCTTGAGCTGCTGCAAGATATAGAGCACGGTATCTTTCCCGCTGATGCCAGGGTTCGGAGCCCCAACAAGACGGATGTTGACCGTTTCAGGTACGCGGAACCATGTCTCGCCGATTACCAGAGGGAGGGTGACATCTGCAGCACCAAGCCCGATAGCCAGACAACCAAGCGCCCCCGACGAAGTGGTATGGGAGTCAGACCCAATCACTAACATACCAGGTTGGACTCGCTCGCGGTAGAACTCGGTATGGAGGATGGTATACTTGATAGTGGAGTTATTAGCAAACTTCAACCGCGTAAAAGGGAGGCATCTTGGTACATTCATCCCCTGGTATTCCGTCATTTTGAAGCTATGTTTGGCCCTTTCACTCGCGTCGATCATAGCCTTCACCTGAGGAACGTGTTTAACTCGCGGGTCCACCACATGGTCTCCCGCGAGCCAGAACCGATCATTGCGAAAGATTCCTGGCTTTCCCAGGAGGTTGTATGTGGTTTCCATCCCCTTGGAAAGGCGGTTAGTAGTAGTAGTAGTAGTAGTAGTAGTAGTAGGAGTAGTGGTAGGGCTGGGATGCCTGAACTTACCCCCCAAGATGCCTCCGACGCAATCACCCAATCTACTCTGACGCGAATGAGCTCGCTCGGCGCCACCCACCCCTTCTGGTCGACATCGTGCATGGCAAAGATCTTTTCGCTGACCGTCATACCTCGCCTGCCGGCCGGCCGTGTCAGAAGCGGCGGCGGCACCGACTCTGCTCGGTCCGCCGAATTGAGGGCTTCCAGCCACGCCGAGACGAGGAACAAGATCTCCGACTCCTGCTCTGGCGCGAGAACCGTGCTGTCGACAGCGAGCCCGAGACCCCCAAACTCAGGAGACAGACAGCAGATCGTAACCACGGTGTTCAAGGCACCCGCTTCCTTCGAGTATCCCTTCTCGTCGAGGGCGACGGCCACGCGCCGGACTTGGCCCAGGACTGGCTCTTCCACAAGGATATCATCTGTAAAAAAATCTACCGTCAGAATCGCCTTCCCATCATCGTTCATCACCAGGAAGCACCACTTAGCTTACCCGTGAGACCGTCTTGGGCGACTTCGCGCGTCTGGTAGAGGATCTGGAGCAACCGAGCCACTGTAGACATTGCGTCTCTAGAATTAGTACCAGCAGGCATTTCACTCAACGATAGTATCATACCACCGAGAGTAAAACAAAGCCCCCGCAGGTCAGTCACTGCCGGTAGACATATCACACTCCTCCCTGTTCTGTTCTGTCATGTGCAATGCTTACCTGATAGGCTGGTCCTATCCTAGTTACCTCGTACTAACTCTCACTTCGGCCCCCGGAACAAGCAAAAGAGGGTCGCACAGGACAACAAAGAAAAGACCCCGACTCCAGGCGAGGGGATTATCATAGGGATTTGGAAAGTGTGAGGAATGAAGGCTCTTGATGCTTCATTCGACTCAAGATGTCTCAATCCGCGGCTGCCACGCTACGCCAGCGACTCGCTGATCCATCCAAGATCGTTGTCGGAGCAGGGGTCTTCGATGGCTTGACGGCTAGGATTGCTCTTACAGAGGGATTCGACTGTCTTTATATGGTAGGTTATTGGTGCTAATCTGTGGACAAGGTATTGAATAACTATCGCTTTGAATAGACCGGCGCCGGGACGACCATCTCTCGACTCGGACTCCCTGATCTGGGCGTTGCGACGCTCAACGACATGCGGGACAATGCAGCCATGATCGCCGGGTTGGACCCTTCTGTGCCGTTGATTGCAGATGCAGATACAGGGTTTGGAGGTGATACCACTACATCTATCTTGCTTTCTTACTATCTAGTCATGTCTTGAGAAAGGGACATACTAATAGTACTGTCAAAGGCTCTCTGATGGTCAAGCGTACGGTGACAGAGTACATTCGAGCAGGCGTTGCCGCGCTGCATCTAGAAGACCAACCGACGACGAAACGCTGCGGACATTTGCGGAACAAGCAGATCGTGCCCGAGGAGGAATACCTCGGTCGGATCCGCGCGGCGGTCAACGCACGCGCTGCCGTGGAGGGTGATATTGTTCTCATCGCGCGGACGGATGCCCTGCAGTCGCTCGGGTACGAGGCTGCAGTGTCGCGGCTGAAGAATGCGATCGCACTGGGCGCGGACGTAGCTTTCCTCGAGGGCGTCTCGTCGGCAGAGGAAGCGAGGAGTGTCTGTGAGTCGCTGAGCCCGACTCCCGTCTTGTTTAATGCTGTGCCGGGCGGTCTGTCGCCGGCCTGGTCGGTGGCAGAGGCACAGGAGCTAGGGTTTCGGATCGTAATCTTTCCGGGGCTGGCACTGGGGGCTGTCTACGAGGGGGTTCGGCGGGCGTGCAAGAGACTCAAGGAGACGGGAACCCAGGATGGGTCGGTGAACCCGCACGATCTGTTCAACGTGGTTGGCTTGAAAGAGGCGGTGGCCTTTGATATGGCTGCTGGCGGTGGTCTGTACGACAAGGGAGTATGAGATCAATCTTCCAAGGCTAGTACTAAACCAACCGTTATGTCATATGTTCATTAAGGCGAGCCGAATAGTAGAACACCAGGCTAGATAGAATAGATAGTAGATACATGCAACCAAGGAATATAAAGAAATGGCCCTCTTGAATTGCAGCTAATGGCCACCGGTGGTGGGAAGACCAAGGAAGACCTTGAACGAATCGTAACTAGGCCAGTTAGTAAAAACCTTCTCAAACCATGGAGGGAGGGGGAACATACATTAACCATTGGAAGCCAGTCAGTGTTCCCAGCATGATGATACGAGTCGTCAGGCCGTTCCAGAGACCCGGGAACCCAATATTACCATAGATTCTCGACACGGCCTTCATTGCAGACTCGCCAGCTAGAGGTCTGTCAGCAGACATTATACTTATCAGAGAAGGAAGAATTAACACACCCTGACGATCTGCATTCAGTTTGCTGACCATGACATCGGCCGGGTGGCTGACAATCGCACAGAAGATACCAGCAATATAACCGCCCAGAAAACTGACGCCCGTCTGCTGTAGCCCATTGAAGCTCTCCTTGGGCCGGCCCAGCGTGCGGTAGATCATGCTCACGGTCTCTTCAAAGGTAGCAAATTTTGTCATCGTGTACGGGATCTGGCGCGCCCAGAGCGGGTACAGACCCTTGTACAACCCCCCCAGGCCCTCCTTGGCGACGGCCTTGCTCCAGCCCTCGCGCAGGGTGTGGGCGTAGGGCGGGAGCGAGGTCTGCATGCGAACCTTGATCGCCTCAAAGGGACACAGCGCAATGTCGGCCAGAAACTCGGCTGACGCGCTGGCCCCCAGATGGACCAGCGTGCGGTTCGTGCTGGGGAACATCTGGTCCCCGTACAGGTATTTGAAGTACTCGTAGAAGCCGTACTTGCCAGCCCCCTGGAACGAGTATCCCACAAAGGTCGGCGCCCAGCCGAAGAACACGCCGCGGATGCCTTCTTTGGCGAATATCGACCGCCACGCCGACATGTTGGACGAGTAAATGCTGGGATCGACCTGCCGACGACACTTGACGAGATCCAGCGGCGTGATTGCGGTATGAGTTGGGCCTGCTGGTTAGAAGGGACTCAACGTTTTTCTCACAAGTTCAAAACGGCACTCACCACACGCTGATACTCATATTAGCAAGGCTCTCTCGCCAATGAATTATCATGGCTTCACTTACCGACAATCCCACCCAGCGCACAGCTATAGAAATACCTGCTGGTGTTGGGCTCTATCTTCCCAAACGGAAGCTTCCTCTCCGAAACGACAGCCATTCTGGTCTAAATCAATCAGAATATCTAGGGACCTAGAATGAAGCAAAGATAAACAAGGGATAGTCAAAAACAATCAAGCAAAGAGTAGAGTAGTCTTGTTGCTTAGACCAGGGTCCAATATATACGGAGGTCACATTAATAGGGGACCTCGATCGGCCAAATGTCGTAACTGACCCCGCCAGCAGCCCAGCCCGGCTTACCTATTACTAGGAACTAACAGGCGCCTCTAAGTACCTAAGGTATCTAAGACATGGCTCTTTCAAGGCACATGCTGGGCCAGGCCGGGAACGGCAGGACCCATGTAACACATGACGTCACCACATCCGCCATTGCCGGAAGGAGCGATAGCGATGATAACACAAACAGTCTTATCAGTCCAATTGAACCTAAGGTACCAAAAGGATGGATGTACAAGCACTCTTACTCAGCAGGCTGACTAAATTGGTGGCACTCGTAAGCACTCGTATAGGTACCTAGGTATTTAACTAGGGATGATCCCCCCATTGAGAGGGCGGAGATCCAGGAGCCCCCTCTGCCAGGGTCAATGCCAGCTTGATCCCTACCTCAGAGCCCAGTCGTGCGAGGGCAGTACGGACCTGCTTGCTCTGGTCAGGGGTTGCCAGGCCGCACGAGAGCACGTACCATAACGGCCACAGCAGACTGTAGCCGTGAACCGCCTTGAATTTGTGCCGACTGCTGGGTTGGGAAGCCCAGGGGCGGGCCGGGTCGGCGGTAAAGCGGCCGCGGGGGTCAATGTCTCCCAGCGCAAAGGGGATGCTGCGACAGATTTCGTCGATCATGTCATGAACCACAACCTGCGTAGATGACAGTGCTGAGGATGATAGGTTTGGAGATATGTTGCTCAGGCTGGCCAGCGGGGCGAGGGCGCCTTGTAGCCCTGTCAGAATCTGCTGCATCACGATCCTCACGGCACGGTAATAGTTCCAGATCGTGGCGACAGAGATTCGTGGATAAGTGATGAGTAGTTGCTCTCCGGTCGGCGAAGGGATCACCGACGGAATCCACTCCTCTGGAAGGCCGTCGCACCATCGCACCAGGTCTCGATCTAATCCCCGTGCATATTCGAGCCAGGTCGCCAATTGCCCGATGACGAGAGCAGGGGACACGAAAAGCTGCGCCTGCATGGCTGCCTGTGCGGAGGAGACCTTGACAAAGAACTGGCTGATCTTTGATGAAGTGGTGATCAACCGAGGGATCGGGTCTGAAACGTCCAACGCGGCAATGATCCATTCCATATCCAACCGAGGCTTATCACCAAGAGCGAGGATTTCAATATGCTATGAGATGTCAGCACAGTGTGTTAACTTACTAGGTAGCATCTACCATACACAGAGGAAGATGAGAGACGCACCGTGTTCGCATAGGCATAGTTGAATAGATCTCGCCCCTGTGGATAATCCAGCTGACCCCTCCCTCGAAGCTTTATCAGCAGCTCAAACCCCGTCGTATGAGAGCCCGACAGTCCATTCCGGTCTCCGCTGATATCTTCAAACAGCGAGATAACCACCACTGCCGCCAAAGTCTCGTCCTTGACCGCTTGGCTGTGCGTGTTCAGGAGCTGCTGCAACGCCCCCAAAGCCTTTCCGTAATTCCGTCTCGCTTTCGAGATCAACGATGGCGCCCGGGCTTCATGCCCTAGAGCTACTTGGGCAGCGGCATCCACCGCCAGCCGAAAGCATGCGCTCGCGGCGTCTGAGCTCGCCTTCTCCTGGCACTTGGCATACAAGTTGGGCAGGAAGCTTAGATGACTTACCGACTGATCCCAGTCGCCGGCCGTCGTATACTGCTGGATGAAATAAACGAATGAACGTTCCTCCCACGTCGAATCTGCCATACGATACGACAGCAGTGAGGCGAGACCATTCGTATCTGAGCTGCCTGACGATGACGAAAAAGAAGAATAAGAAGACGATGACGACGACGACGACGACGACGCGGACGATGCCACCGACGTCAACGAAGAGCCGGACCTCGTCCACAATGCATCCGAGGGCAGCCGGACGGCAAGCAGATTGCCTTCCCGGGGCTGGGCCTGCTCTGCCCCGGCAATCCGGCCAGCGCGGGCCTTGTTGAGTGGCGGTTTTCGTGCTTTTAGCGTCGCATTCTTCGACACTGGCCGGTATCCCGGACAATCAGCCCCGTAGATCTTGCAGTTCCTGCAGCCGGGCTTCTCTTCGGAACACTAGAGTAACAACAGTAAGAATAATAAGCCCATCTTCATATCTTAAAAGAACAGGGGGAGAAAGCATCTTTAGTACTTTGATCTTTCGCTTTCGGCACAGATAACATCCAGTGCTCGGCCCGACATAGACCATCGCTGTGGGCGGAGGGAGAGCACACACACTCGGTGACTACTCCTGTCGTTCTAACAACTTTTTTGATCCTTTCCACTCCCCCCCCCACAGAGTCAATACCAGCAACTGTTGACAGTAGTAACTTAGGTAGGTATGGATCACATCAATCGACTCGGGGCAACCAGTCCGATCGCATCCTGGCTAGTTAAGCCGTAGTCAACACTCCTGATTTAGTGGTGCAGGGAGCTCTGCTGGCGCCTGTCCTTTTCCTTCGGGGAGGGGGATTGTGCTTGAAGATGGCAAGAAATTCAGGAGTCACCCTAGCATACGACGATCAAGGGATGTAAGTACACAGGTAGAACCGATCTGATAAGGAGGCGGTTGAATGGACAGTCGAGTCAGCCTGCGTATGTAGTAGGGACGAAGTAAGACGAGACACACAGACCCTCTGAGGGCGTGTTTGTTGACGGGCTTAGTCATAGGCAGTACCTCTACACTACTCCAAGTCTGTGGTTAGTGAACTATAGTAGAAGTTTATTTCTAATATTATCATTGATTAGTAGTAGTAGTAGTAGTCGTCGTGTTAGTAGTAGAAGTAAGTCATTCAAATTGTACGATGCTATTTCAGTATTTCAGTGCACGCTAACTAAGACATGGACGAACTCTTTCCCCGGTAAAAGAGGAAAAAGAGCAGTGAAATGGCAATCATAGACCCCCAGATGGCAGAAATATAGACCATATTCCGGGCCGGGTATCTCGGGAGCTCCGAGGAGTCGACAGCAGTTAAACGGCGGAGACAATTAAGGCACCTTGGGAAGATAAGACCAAAATCTAGGCCGGAAGAAAAGCCCTCGAGGGGTGCGGGTCATTTGGGGACGGTTGTGGATGGCTAGGAGGACGGTGCATCCGCCATCGGCTGGTCGGCTTCGGTTCCTAACGATATTGCTGGAGGAGGGTCGGAGAATATGGCTCTGCGCCTACCACTGACTGCAGAGAGATCATGGCTCCCTTCTCTCATCGGACGCAGACCAGGAGTGCTCGAGGCACTCTCAAGGATGACCAAATCGTCAGGGTTGTCTTCTGGCGGCGGAGCAAAAGACCAGACCTATTGTATTGTGTTGAGTTAAGGAAATTGAGAAGTAGGTGGGGGGTTCCATGAACGAAGAGAGAGAAAAAAAAGGACTTACCTCCATTACGGTACGACCGCCCCTGTTCGCCAAGATGACGGCCTTTTCATCCTCGAAAGCCACTCTCCAGACGGCCTCGGCGGGGGCAGAAAGCTCCCGGAGCAACTGACCCGTCTGCAGACTCCAGATCTTGACGCGACCGTCGCTGCCTCCGCTGACAATGCGAGTGCTATCAAACTGTAGGCTGGTGACGCTATTATCATGGGCGGCCAATCTGTGGATGGGAACCATCCGGGTGAGCGACCAAACTCGGACCGACCCGTCGGAGCCACCAGTGACCAAGGTATCGCCTCTTATTTGCAACTGCCCGACCAGAGAGGTGTGGCCTTGTAATATGGCATGGCACTGACCAGAGTGCGGATCCCATATCCGGACGCTGGTATCCAGACTGCCTGTTGCAATCCGTCGTCCGTCGAAAGCAATAGCATAGATCTGGCTGAAGTGGCCCGAGAGCGTCCTCAGACAGCGCCCTTCAGGGATGCTCCATATGCGGGCAGTTGTATCGTAACTCCCAGAGACAACTAGTGATCCATGAATGGCCAGGCAGCGGACACTCGCTTGATGCCCAAACAAGACATTTTTACATGTGCCCGTGGCAAGATCCCATATCCGCAAAGTGGTATCCCTGGACCCTGAGATGGCCGTGTTTTCGTCCGACATCTTCAGGCAGCGAACAGTGGATGTATGGCCGCGTAAAAGGTGGATTCCCGCGCTGGAAATTCCCTCGTCAGTTATCATCTTCATCTTTTTCCTTTCTCATAGTAGGAATCAAAGTACATACCCGGTCGCCATGTTCCAAACTCTAACTTCCCGATCACAACCACCGCTCACCAAAATGTCATCCCATGGAACCATCGCCCACACACCCATAACATGACCCTGCAGTGTTTTCTGATTCTCTCCGTTGGTGTCGTAGACATGAATCTTTGCATTATCCAGAGCGACCACTATATACTTCGAAGTAAGGTGAAGACTTGTGACGACGCCTTGCTCTGGAGTAATAGGCCGCTGCGTGCATCTACCTCCTTTATTCCATGCTGATTCAACCATGTACTTCTGTTTGAAATGAGACCGATAAGACAGGGGCCGGGCCCGCCGTTTCTGCGTCGGGGTTCTGGTCGACGCAGACAACTCGCTGGCAACCGACTGAGAGAAATCCGAAAAACTCTCTGCAGGCTGGTAGCTCGAAGCAGACAGCTTCCTTTGAAAACTGTTCCAAGAGCGTGCGCCAGGCACGATCTGGTAAGAGTGGGCGCGGGACGAGGCAAGGGAATCTCGATCGCCTTCTGACATCCGCCGGGCTGTGTAGGCGTGCTTTTCGCAGAGGTTTTTCCAGGTGATGTCGTCGTTCAGCAACTCTCGCCATCGGCGTGAAACCTGGGATGCTCTCGCGAGGGTCTTGGGGTCGTCGATGAAGGAGAGCACCTAAGAATGGAAGAAAAGACACAAATGTCAACATAAATCAAACCGATAAGTTCAAGATAAGTTCAACCGGCCTTACCCTGAGACAAAGTTCGGTTGGGAAAACCTGAAAGGGGTCCTTCCTTAAGCGAGGCCCGACATAACTGGAGACGAAACTGAGTTGCTGGTTATCGCACAGGCCCAGAATGCCCACGAGGAATTTCTGTCTCTTGGCGCTCGACAGCGAGCTGAAATGGATTCGGGCGTTCAGGAGAAAGGCATCCTCCTCCTCATCGACCGAGTGCCAACTCGGCAGTCGCTGGTTTGGCGTAGGACTCGGCGCCGGGGTGGGAGGGGAGGCAGGCGCGGACGGCAACAGGCTTGGGGGGATCGCGGTGACGGATTTGTGGGAGGAGAGTAGGGAGGATCTGGAGTGATGGTGACTTGACGACAGACTGGAGACGGAATCTCTGCCAGCAGAAGATTCGGCGTGAGCAGAAACCAGCTGCTCTGGTAAGCTGCGCGGACTCATGCCCAGGTCCCTCGACGACGATAAGACGCCCGACACTGGCGGAGCAACGGGGAAGGGAGGGGGGGGGGGAGGGATGATCTCAGCGATCGGGATTATCTGCTCTCTTCTTTGATCCTATCCTATCGGCAGCAGGAGGCGCCCGGGACGGCCAACAGGCATAGATCAGGGGTATCAAAAGGCAAAGACGGTGTATTATGTAGAGAAGCGAAAACGATCGAGTTTATCGGGGCTGAAGTACCCCGTAAGCGCGAAAACGATTGGTGTGGGCGCAAGAGAGCGGCAAGAGCACAACCGGGTCGCTGACAAAGTACAGAGGGAATGAGGTCAAGAGAGAACAGGGGAAGCCATCCATCCGACAGCAGGAAGGGGAGGGCCTTGCAACAGACAACTAAAGTAAATACTGAGTGGAAAGAATCGAACGGGGTCTTGTCACTGACAGAGGAAGCGGAGATGAAGCCGGATCATGACCCTAGAGAAGCACGCAATAGGAACAACTCACTGGATTATCTTTAGTGACTCCAGAGATCCTCCCGTTCACCGTTCACGGCTCCAGGATCACATGATGGACTGACGACGGCCCGCAGTCAGCGGCAAGACTCGAAGGCGGTCAAGATTCGCCATCGACTTCTTTTATGGATTATTATTGGGTTGGTACGATATTACGATATAACAGGTACTAACAGAATAGACAAGGTTCATACTGCGCAAGGAGAAAAGCTGGGGCATCAAAACCTTCTACTACCATACTCTCTCTTCAAGAAATCATCTATCTGTTGATGTGGTATGCAACATCAAGCTTTTGAAAACACGACGGCAGCAGCCAAAAGAAAAATAGAAAGAATTAAGAGCAACAAGCAAAGATGGAAAGAGAAATAGGCCATACATATCACACTCCTTCCAAAACTGTGTGTCAACTATTGAAAACAAGGTCTAAATGTGATACAGAGAAAGCAATAGCAAGAAGAGCAAGTAGGGGAGGAGAAGAAGCAGGGGGGGGGGGACTGCTCAGTGAGCGTGGCCGATTTGAAGGAACAAGGGTAAGATCATGCCGGCCACGGAGGCGATCAGGTCTCTCATGGACTTATCCGGTTTGGATGTCGAGTCGCGCGGATCACCATAGCCGTTGGACTGGGAGTCGCGGGAAGAGCCGTTTTCCTGCATGGTGTGCATGGCGACGTAGCTGGCAGGGTTAGCCGAGAGGGAACTGTCGCGTCATCAGGGCGTGGGAGAAGGGGGAAGAGAAATACTTACAGAAAGGTTCCGGCAGAAAATAGGAGAAGCATGCCGGTCCGCCATCTACTGCTTGCCTCGTCGCCGCTGATCCCTGAGCCCACGGCTTGCACGAAGAGAAAAGTTGCCAACGCGCCCACCGGGGCTGCTAGGCTGAAGACCAACAGGTGCGCTCTCGCTGCCCGGCTGGAAAGCCCTTGTTTGAGCAGAACGGACGTCAGTCCGAAAGACGCAGGAGCCTTGTGGACCATGATCGCTAAAAAGATGATGAAGCTCAGACCAGTGTCTGAGCTGGATGCTCCCAGCGCGATGCCATCCGCCGCAGCATGAATCACCAGTCCCGTAGTTGTCGCAAAGCTGTGGTTGCGCTTGTTGTTACCATTTCGGTCGAGTAGGCTTCCGTCGCGAGAGGATGCCGATCCCCGGCGTAATCCAGATCCTAGGTTGTCCAGCGAAATATGATATGGAGGTCTCTGCTGCTTTGCCGGAGACGCGAACTCGGGAAGTTTATCGATCAGATACATTAGAACGAACCCGCTGATCAGAGCGACGCCGATCCACGCATGAGGCGAGGACTCCTCCTGCTCATCATGGTCCTCTTCATCTTTGTTTTCCCCTGATGATGTGTCGTCCTTTCGTGCTCTTAGGTTAGGCGACTGGTGTGTGGAACTTCGGACATATAGCGTCCCTTCTTCCTCTGACATGACCGGTGATGGAGACGGGATTGCAAAGGAAGACACTTGCGGGAACTTGTCATCCTGATCGTCCACGATACGATCCGACTTGATCACCGGCACTTGTTGGTATTCCCAGTGAATGGGGGTGTCCCGAGCACTGATGTCCTTGCGGGCCTTGATCGAACTCGCGCTGTAAAGAGTCTCCACGCCCTCTGGAATGATCACTATTAATGACGTGCCAACTAATACCCCCATTCCAATGGAGGATATAAATCTCAATTGAGAAGAAGATAGCGCAAACGCAAGTGGTAATGAGCCGACGACAAAAGACCTGCCAACCGCAACCCCACGATTAGCCTAACATTCTGTTATTGTGCCATCGACACCCGAAGAATTGCCTCACGTAATTGTCATCACAACGCTCAATATGAGCAGTGTGAGAAGGCCCTCCATGATACTTCGTCTAGCACTCGAACTCGCTCTATAAGGTCTCGATCATGATTTCAAGTTGAACCGATAGCAACAGATGGCAGGAGTCGCGCGGTATTTTCCCCCAGAGCGACGGCCAATGGCTTGCTGATCCGGCGTAGCGGCCAATCAAGGACGTCGAAGAATGACTCTCCGTGCAGAAATAGATGGAGAGAGTCGATCGCGCGAGGCGTGGATGGACAGGTTGCGCTCCGCAAGGGTTTCTCTCGGTCTCTGTCAGTGAGTCGTAACGTTAAGGGCCAGGACCGCCACGCGGAACCGCCTGTGACGAGGGTCGATCGACCCCTGGGACTCTTCAGGCTCCACTTCAAGTGAGGAAAGGCCATATGTCAATGGACAGTGGACAATAACAGTGGACACTGAGTAGTGAGTACCTCTCTACAGACATGCTTTGTATAAAATAGGTTGGGATTAGCTGGCTATTTTATTGTGAAGAATATAATGGCTACCTGGTTATATAGGATACTTCTTACCTCAACACATAACAATGGCTCTACCTATAGAAAGGCATTGACTATTAGATATTAGGTACTTACTTATTACCCAGGATGATAGTATTCAAATCCCCTATGGTTTCAGATAGGGCTGTACGGTGTACCTCTCCTATACTAATTCATCATTATATCCTTGAATTACCTCGAGCAAATTTCCCAAGATTCATACTCCGTACTGCGTAATGGTACTGTAATAGTTAATTTCAAGCTCACGTGCTGTATTTATGCCTCAGGCAGAAGAACATCCTAGCTCTCCAGTCTAACTGTAAATGGTCATACTGAAGCTCCACGCCGACGCGACTCAGACACGCGCCTCAACTGGCAATTAACTTCTTGTGAGTAGGTTATCGGTGCTGCCTTTTCTCTTTACCTTCATTATTGCTCTTCAGCCCTTCTGGCAGGATGGAGGATACAGGAAACTGTGAGCTATAAAGAAACTATTATACTTAATTCCTTCATTATCTTTCTTTCATCCAGCTAATATAATTATTTGTGTCTAGGGTCCTGCAACGCCAACGACGCCGTCCAGATTGCCTTGGTGCAGCCTGGCGAGGCGAAGCCTACGGTCCTGTCTACCTTCCATCCCCAGTTTACATACCCCATCTTTGGTGATGATGAGGAGATATTTGGCTATCGCGGCTTGATTATCCGCCTGCGGTTTGCCGCACATGATCTCCGCCCGCATATTCATATCTCATACGACGAGAAATTCAAGGCGGTCGAGGACGCAACCCCGCTGGACCTCATCGCGACTCTGAAGCCTTTTTCGCACGAGGGTTTGTTGAACCCCATCCCCCATGGTTTATTGATTGCAGGCTATTAACATGTGGACAGACGCATTTAGCACTCTTCCCGAGTACGAAGCTGCCATGCAGAATGATGAAAACACAAAGGACTTTACTCCTCCGGGTAAGCTGGTTCACAGTTATGCCTCCAAAGACAACAGACAGTACGAGATCTGGGCTGGCTCCCTGGCGGATCCGGAGGTGCGACGTATTATAGACCGCGCCCAGATTCTGGTGTCCTTCTTCATTGAGGGCGGAACTCCGATCGAGACGGACGACCCCGAGTGGACGCTTGAGAGATGGACTGTTTACTTTGTGTAAGTGATTGCTTGAAACCCTGCAAAAAGGAGAAAAAAATTAGCTGGTCCTAAGTGGGTGTTAGGTACGAGAAGCTGGCCACGCCCCCGCCGACTGCCTCGCCGTACTCGATTGTCGGGTATTCTACAACCTACCGCTGGTGGTATTTTCAGACTGGTGCATTGCAGACTCGCACTGTCAGCGAGGGACCCTTCCCGCTTCCCGAAGCCCGGATCTCGGAACTCCCTGCTCGACTGAGAATTGCCCAGTTCTTGATCCTCCCCCCTCACCAGGGCTCCGGTCATGGCACCCATCTTTACAACACCATCCACACTGCGTGCTGCAATGACCCGACCATCATGGAGCTGACCGTCGAGGATCCCAACGAGGCGTTTGATGTCCTCCGGGACACTGCGGACTTCCACATGCTTCGTCCGAAATTCTTGCACCACCAAGTGACCATCAATGCGGACCCGTACGCAGGCCAAACGCGCATCCCGCGATCCAGGACGGTGCCTACCAATGCGCTGCTCCCCATGAATCTTCTCCAGGATATCCGTACGTCCCTGAAGATCGATACCACTCAGTTCGCGCATATTCTGGAGATGTTCCTACTGAGCCAGATCCCGACGAAGCACCGCGTCTCGGGCGGCGCAAGCATGGCCCGGTTATTGGTCAAAAAGCACAAGGCGGAAGATCCCCACGACCGGCGTTACTACTGGTGGCGCATGCTGGTCAAGCAGCGTCTCTACAAACGCCATCGCGACACTCTTGTCCAGCTGGACCACGACGAGCGTGTCCAGAAGCTGGACGAGACCCTTGTCAACGTCGAAGAAGGGTACAGCGCGCTTCTTGAGGCCTTCCTGGAGCGGGAGAAGAAACTTGAGGCTCAAGAAGGATCGGCGGATGCTGGAACCTTGGGTAGAGACCAGCGCGTGAAGCGAAAGTTTACCGTCCAGGATGACGAGGACGAGGAAGACCACGACCAGGAATCGGCAAAACGGCCCAAGGTGTAAAGCAAAAGGTGGTAACTCGTGATGAATTCAATTGACCCAAATGTACAATACTTCTATTTTCATGACCATGTGAATTTAATCAATTCAAAATAAAAAAAATATTGACACTCATTAACAGTACTCATTATTAGTGTGCGACCCATGAACCTCGTCTAGATACTTAATTACTTATTATGAAAACAAACAGCCACCTGAATATAAAAACGCCAAAAGCAAAAAAATGAGCACTCTAGGAACTTACAGTTACATCCTGAAACGAATGCTTCCACTCCCTAGACATGAGATGCGTAAAATAATGAGGAGACTGGTATTTTGAAAATGTTTATCTGGAGTAGTTGAGAGGCGTGATTCTCGCCGTACTCATCTGGAATAACTCGGTGGATCCATGTCGCCGGTTTCCAAAGTATCCAGCGTAAGCGAGGACACAGTGTCGAGGCTCAGCAGGCTGCTGCTTATCGGCGAGTTACTACTCATCGCCAGTCCAGCTGTCGGCGCCGACGCAACATTCAAGCCCAGGTAGCGGCGTGTATACCTCGGAGGCGCTTGCAGATAGGTGGTGTCCGTGTCGGAGTTGTCTCTTGGGCCAACGAGCTCGCCCACAAACTCGAGTACCCGTCGCAGGCCTAGGATTTCAGCATGCATGGCGCCCTGATCATCCGGCTCAACCGGCTGGTCCGATTCCGCTGGCTGCCGGGCACCCTCGGCATACTGGATCTCGTCTAGCCCGTGGCTCGAAGAAACCGACGTGGCTTGGTATGATCGTCTTTCCCACCATTGTTTCCATCTAAGCCGACGCGCTGCAGACTGGTAGGCGCGCCGCGTCCGTCGCTCTTCCCTCCTGGCGGCCAGGTCGGCTCGTTTCCGCATACAATGATTGGTGTTGCGGTAGAATTTGAACAGCAGTAGCCCGATTGCGAGGGCGAGCAAGAAACATGCGTAATTCCTCAGTACCTTCCTTGTTTCATTGTTCGAAGGAAAATCCACTGGCGGTATTGATTCATCCGTATGCGTGATGTTGCGATTTCGGTCTTCGTCTACCGAATTTACTGGTGGGTTGTTGCTAGTTGAATTCGATGTTTCCGGCCTTTCTATTCCATTTGAACGGGAGGACCCATCGTAGTGATTAGAGCAGATCTGCTCGGGTAACGATGAGGGTAGTGACCCAAAGCTGTATCTAAGTCGATGTAGCATCTCGGGAATTGTTTCAAGAGAGACCTTGATCTTGCATCCAAAGCTTGAGCAGCGTTTCCATTTCTCCAGAAAGGGGGAGCAGTCCTGTTGCAGGAGCCGCCGGATTGTATGCTCCTCGGCTTGGATGCGCTGCTCGATCTTAGATAGTTGGGTTCGCATATCTTGTAACTGCTGCCAATGATGCTTGATTTCTGTCCTTGTTTGGTCTTCCACGACGAACTCGACATTCGGCATATTTTCCAGCCGATCAGAGTCGGCCGGATCCCTCCAGGCGTCCAGATTCCCCTCCGGATCGGATAGATGAGTACATAACCGCAGGATTTTCGGTGAATCTGCCTGTGAGAAGGACGCCGAAAATCCAACATCACCTCCGACAAGTTGATTCCCAACCTTTTCCACCTTTACTGTCAACAGTTGAGCCGCTTCTTCATTCGCGGATCCCGGCGGAGCAGTAATGTGAATAATCCGCCATTCAACCAGTACTTCATCATCTTCTCGGGAATCTGGCAGTGGAGAGACTATTCCAGAGCCGTGTCCAGCGCTAGCACTCCGGCGATAGTCCAGCTCATTGCCATTGAGGAATACACCCGTTCCGCCGCCAGCTCTCTCAGCTCGGTTCACATAAAGCTCAAACAGCTGCGGGGAAAGCATCAGTTCAAGTGCAAGATACTGTGCAACTCTGGCGGTTCCCTACCAAATCCGGCGTTTCTGTACCTGTACATGTAAGACATGGCGCTCGAAATCTCACCAGTGCGCTTCCATCAACTATCGGACCTTAGTTCAATTACTTTGAAATATCGCAGAGCACTTCGAGCAAGACAATATCGACTAACTTTGCTGGAGTATTACAGAGTACTCCTCTTCCCTGAACTGCGTGACACCACCAGCGGCCACAGGAACGACAGGTAGAGGTGACGCAAGCGAGCAAATAGTCGTGCCAGCAAGCAGGAACAGGGCGGCAGTCACTGAGCGGCGCATGGCTGTGGCTGATGAGCAGCAGCACAGACCTCAGTTTCGCATGGCGGGAGACGAAGAAAGCTGCGAGAGTAAGAAGATTCCCACCATAGAGAGAGTCTGGTGGCCCCTCTGTGATACGAAGCCAACGAAACAACAATTGAGAAGCCGTCAGGCGAAGTCACGCGAGCCTAGCAGCAGCCCCCAAAACCAAATCCTTGGCCTGAGGGCTTCTTGGCTTACTATTTGTATTCGGACTTACCAGGATGGGCTGATAAACTACAGGGGGCGGTGCTGTTGCTTCGGACGGCCCGGCTATTGTTCCGGCTGCTTCGGACAACTGCTGGAGCTGGTGCAGAAACTCAGGCAGATATGATAGAACACTATTGAAACCTGCGAAGAGCTCAACAAAATATCTACAAGAGATCCCGGCTGAGTGAGAAATCAACGAGGGTTCTATTTATTCAAAAATCCCTGGTTTTTTGTCGTTGCCAGCTAATCTGGGTGACACCCCGCGGCTGAGGACCCTCTTTTTCACCTCCGCTGTCATTATACGACTTCCACAATGGTACGCATTACGTTGGGTTGGAATGAATGTATAGTCAAGAATACTAATGTTGGATGGGGAGCAGTTGCCATTGGGTCTACTCACGGCCGCGCAGGGCCACCCGATGCTCGTCGAGCTTAAGAATGGCGAAACCTTGAACGGACACCTTGTCAGTTGCGACAACTGGATGAACTTAATATTAAAGGAAGTCGTACAAACGAGCCCCGAAGGCGATCGTTTCTTCAAGTTACCGGAGGTCTACATCAGAGGCAACAATGTGTGTTTGGGCTAGCTTCATCCCCCCAACCCCACCCGTGCGCGATAATAGCAATGCCTGACTAACACTTATCCTTGCCAGATCAAATACCTTAGAGTCCCCGAAGAGATCATCGACATTGTGAAAGACCAACAGCAAACCCAGGCATCAAACCGCGGTCGTGGTGGCCCGTCACATCGGGATGGTGGTCGAGAGAGAGGACGTGGTGGAGGTCGCGGAGGTCGTGGTCGTGGCAGGGGCAGGGGAGGCAATTAAGCCATCTTACGAATCAGAATAATGGCAAGAAATGAAAGATACCCTGGTGTGGTTTTTGTGGGGTTAATGCGCTGGAAGGGTCTGGATTGGCGGTTCAGTCGAGCATGGCCTAGGCGTATCTGGCTCTGTAATTCAAATGGGAAATATGTCTTTTCGACCAGTAGTCCTTTTGTAAATCAATGCCGACTCCGACCTACTGGCAAGTCATCGTCTCTCGGCTCTTAAGCAAGTCTAGATCCAATGCCGGGATAATAAATCGGAATCACGTGAGTGCGCATCATCAGCGATTCGACGGCGGGCCTTTAGGATTCAGGACGCGCACGGGGAAAATTGCTGGCTCTTCCGCAGCACAACATGCCACAGAAAGCCATTGTCCTAGATGGACTCTGGTGCTGTCTTTGCCCGATATTGAATCCTGCCTTTTCCACTCGTCTTCGGAACCCCCTTTTCAACACCCCCCGAGCTTCCAATCTCCGCATTCGCAAGCCTCCTCCGACCTGCACAAAATCACTATCCTCAAGATGTTATAGCACCGAGGTTACCAGGGAAAGACAAGCTTCGGCAACGGAGCAAAGGAGCCATGGATTACAAGCACCTGTTCGAGGCTCAGGAAAACCTCGATTTGTGTCGGGCAAGTCGCAGCCAAATGCACCCAAGGCGCCCCAGAAGTCAGTGCCGATGCAATCGCCCGATGCACCGCACCATTTGGAACGCAGGTCGACTGCAGAGCTGGAGGAAATTCTACAAGACCGGGTGGCCGTCTCCCCTAATATTGTGAACACGACCCAGATACTGCGCGTTCTGATCAAAAAGCGACATGTTCGGCCTGATGTTCGTCATTACCGGGCTCTGATCTTGGCGAACGCAGATTCAGAGCGTGGCTCGCCGGACGCAGTTCGAAAACTGCTTTCGGAGATGGAGGAAAATGGAATTCCAGCTGATTCTGGCACCCTTCATGCTGCCTTACAGGTATGAAGTTTAACAAAGAACCTGCTGGTATGCCTGCTAATTAGATATGGGGTCAAATAGGTTCTCGCCGTCCACCCAGACTATGTACTACGACAAGAGATTGTCCGAACCCTCCGAGATCGATGGGTTCCTCTCAGCCCGGCTGGCTGGCATTTTGTCGTGGCGGGTCTTATCAGAGAGCATCAGTTTGAATTGGCACTCGAACATCTCGCCTATATGGAAAGAAGAGACATTGTGATCGAAAGCTGGCTTCACAACATTCTCATCTACAACCTCTGCGATCTGGAAGAGTTCGATGAAGTGCTGAACCAGATGCGGTCTCGGACAGATCAAAACCATGACATATCTCTTGATCTCTGGTCATATGTCTTGGAAGTCGCAAGCGAGGCTCTCCATCACCAATGCACTCGCTACGTATGGGAAAGAGTACGACTTGGTTATTTGCACCCGTCTCACGGGGTTTGCCGGAACGTGCTCCTACTTGCGTCTCTGAAAGGTGACCCAGAGCTGGCTGCTTCGGTGATCGATTTCTTTGTCAAGACAGGTGTGTCCCTTTCACTAGAAGATATGGAAAAGGTCGTGGAGAGTCATCTTGTAGCCGATGACCTGTACTCTGCCTTCCAGGTATTATGCAAGACACAGATGTCGGGGATCTCATTAGAAGGACGTGCCATACGTCCCATTCTCGATTACATGATTCGGACAAAAACAAGGCCGGATACTGCATGGAATATACTCAAGGGGCTCAAGGCTGAAAAATTGCTGGTCCCAATTGATTGCGCAAGGGTGGTTCTCAAATTATGCGAGTATGGGGCTCTACAAGACCCCTTTATGGTGGATGAGGGTATTCGTCTCTACAAGGATTTCCAGAGACTCTGCCCCGACGGGGCAGATGTCTCAATTTACAACACTCTCATCAACATGTGTCGGAGGGCGCGGGATCCCCAAGCCGGCATGTTTGTGGTTAAAGAGATGGCGTCGCTTGATGTGGCTCCCATCGGGACCACGTTCGAACGCATCATTCTCTTGTGCCTAGACTCGGGCAATTTTGAGTCTGCATTCAAATATTTCAAAGACATGTTACGTCGCCGCCTCACCTTGAGCGAAGAGGCTCGGCTGGAGATCCGCGGACTGTGTCTGGAGTCAGAGGATGCGTATGCCCTGGCGATAGCATCGCATCCGCAAGTCAAAGGAGACGACTAATCTCCTGGGGAAAACACGAATAACCAGCTCAAATCGAACCCTTTTGATTCAATGGGTAGGCTTCCTACGACACAGAGAGACTTGTCACCAGGCGGGATGTTTCAACCTCGCTCTGATACATCCCAGCCACTCAGACAGGCACAGGATGATCTGTCACAAGCTTAGCACAAATCAAGAAATTTAATTATTCAATAACTCCGTCTCTACCGGCAATCAATGACCTCATATAACTGCATAATCCAGGCTCATGGTGGTGGTCTGACTGATGGATCACAAAATCCACCACAGCCAAAGTCGCGGTCAGGCCCACCATTAAGCCATAGAAGAGACAGATCCTTTGTGATCATCTGAGAATATAACTAATAGTCAAGCAGTAACTATCACTATTGTGTAAGTTGACTCGCTAATCATTAACTAATTATGATGGGCACAGAGTAGAATAAGCATATCGGGCCGCCACTTCGTGGTTCTAATAATAACACTCGGAGATGAGGATCATCTGAGACATTACAGTGATCGCCAACGGGGAAAACCCATAGGGTGATGAGCTCTCTTGCTTTTGGGGCTGGATGAAACAGCCTGCCCCATAAAAAAAGAAAGCAGAACAGAGAGTTTACAAGCTACACAAGTCTTTGTGCTATATTTTTCCTGTCCCACTGGATCAACAACGCCCAACCCCCATGATTGCCTTATATACCCCCAGCCACTCCTCACTCACTACATATTACCTAGGTACCCTCCTCGTATCTTCCAGTTCATATCCCATTACTTCTATCACCCCCGTACATAACATCAGAAGCCTTTAATCCTATAATCGCTCGTTTCAAAACGCTCGCTTGACTCGATATCACAATGCGATTCACCTCATCCTTTGCGTCGTTCGCTCTGCTCTCCGCCCTCGGCGTGACAACAGCGTCTCCTCTTCGCCGAGACGATAGAGCGCTCATCTGGCAGGTCACCAACTTTGCCACCGGCTGCTCTCCAGAGGCGTGTATCTATACGTTCAATATCTTCGGCGCGGGGACCACGAACACCCCGGGCTTCAGCACCTCGTGCAACGGAACCGATTTGCAAACCGACTATACACCCTGCGACAACGGCAGCCTCCAGGCCATTCTCACGCCTGAGACGTACCCGCTCTGGAACATCAAGGTTCTGCACGCCTGGACCAAGGGAGAGGCCGAGTACTACGACCTGGGCCAGGTCAACATCACGGAGACGGTCACCAATTTCACCATCCCAGTGACGGAGGAGTACGGCGTTGCTTAGACGCTGCTACAATACCATACTTCGAATGACTGACGCAAGAAACTAATAGAATGGTTGAGATTGAGGAGGCCTTTTCACATATTATTTTTTTCTTGTTTCTTCTATCCCCGCGGGCTACTATGCGATTCATGATAAATATTGCTGCCGACGAAACTAATGTACTCACCTATTTTCCTGTTCTCTTGTGCAAATAGATATAGCATTTTATGACGTTGATGAAGCTTTAAATATGGATGAAAGTACATTTTTTACATAGTTAGTAGACCAACACTACGTCATAGATAACCAGGCCTCACGATAAACAAAGTCGACGTTGACTCCAGGGTGAAATCTGAAGCTATTCAGAGTTCAATAAATCGCCTGGGCCTCCTGCACCGATTCCGTTTATGGCCAGGCTCACGGCAAATCGAGCACCGCTGAGGTGCTCGTAGCGTCACTGGCGTTGGCGTTGGCACCGCTGACGCTGGCACTGGCGCTGGCGCTGGCGTTGCTGCTGCTGCTGCCGCTCTGTCTCTTGCTGCTATCATATCCATTACTTCCCCTACAGTCATACCAGGCTCGACATGGATCTCACGTTGCGAGTCAGAATGCGTTTCAGCCTCGGGTACCTGACACTGATCCTCCTCCCTATCGAGTATCTCCCGGGCACACTGGATGGCATGATTCATCGTGATGTGGCATGAGATGACAAGATATCCAATCGATTTAAGCAGCGGGGTCCGCTCCGGCGAGTCAGTGATTCCCCGAGGATGCCTCGAATATAGAGCCTTGACTTCCAGGTGCCGGTTGATGAATTTCTGGACCCATTCGGCCCCCAGCTGCGGTGCGGGGACGGGGGGATCCCGATGCAATATAATATGTTGCACCATGTCGCGGATCTGGACAGGTCCTGGAGCCATGCCGTGCTCACCGAGACGCAAAACAGATTTGACGAGTATGTCCTCTTCCATCAACTTCAGTACATGGCCGTTGGCGCGTGTCTCGGCCCGGCAACTCCTCCCTCCAAGTCGTCCTCGTAGAGTTGAGAGGGGGACGCCGAAAATGAGCGCTGCTTGACGAACAGTGCCGATTTGTTTCTTGTCTAAAGCTCGAATGGCTAATAGAACTCGTTTTTCCTGATCAATTGGATGGCTCGATGCTTTAGGCATGTTGGGGACTATTAAAGACGCGTCAGAATGTTAGAGGGGGTTCGGTGTGTTGGTGAAGACGGTCTCTTTAAATATACCCCCTAAATATAGGGGACTCGGGGACTATCAGGGGGCTTCTTTAACTAACGGGATCAGCACCAGCGGCCATTAGGATATCTACTCTAGAGTATAGTCTCTCAACCATTTCTATGTTATACAATATATTAAGCTAATAGCTTATATATATCTCAGAAAAATTAAGCATTCCCATATAATTATGACAAGTAATTCATGGGATACTGCCTGCATAGGTGCCTGGCCACTCGCTGCGGTTACTTACTCCTTCGCCACCTACAGCAGTAGGCAGATACCTAGGTAACTAATAGGTACCAAGTTGACCTCTTCGTTCTAGCTATGGCTATCCTATATTTTTGCCAGAAGTACGTCTTGATTACTCCGTGCCCTGATTTATTTAGTTGTCATGTGACCTGTCACATGGCTAACTTCCAAGAGTTTTGCAATGACGTAGTTTAGGTAGATTCTCACGAACAACCATGACGATCGCTTTGCCTCTACAGAGATAAACAGGGCCATATTGTTCTAGAATTACCATATTAGGCATAAGAATAAAGGCATCAAGATTGGGAGACCCTATTCTCTTTTTTCTGACCTATTCATGGTCCAGTACCGTGGAGCTATCAGTGTCCATATTCCACACCTAGTCAATAGAAGAGCTTGTGATGGTGAGCCCCAAAGAACCATCTCTAGACTCCTCCTGCACTGCCTGTTCTTTATACAGATGATTTTCTCTCCGATCTACAAGGCTGCTGCTAATTACTATCGGGTTTAAAAGGCCTCCATTCTTCGACAGATCGTTGCTGGACCGAGGATACCACACCCAGAGGCAGGGTTGGATCTATGCTATGTGACGGACAACAGTGAGCTATCCGTTTACCTTCCATTCGTCTCTGTTTCCACTTTATAGCTAACCGCTGCTGTGCACCTCAGTCATCGCAACCTCTGGCCCGTCAGCCACTTACCCGCAGCGGGCCTATCGAAATCCGCTCGATGAGTTGGTGGCTTTCCTCGATTCGAAGCATGACAAAGACTGGTGCATCTGGGAATTTCGTGCGGAGGGGACGGGATACCCGGACTCAGAGGTGTACGGTCGTATCCATCATTTTCCCTGGCCGGACCACCATCCGCCGCCGTTTGCACTGATACCGTCCATCGTGGGGAGCATGAAAAATTGGCTGCATCGGCTCGATGATGGTGAGGACAGCGGGTCAAGCAAGTTAAAGCACAAGGGTAAGAATAGAGTCGCTGTAGTGCATTGCAAGGCAGGCAAAGGTCGCAGCGGGACTGTGGCCTGCAGCTACTTGATCAGTCAGGAGGGCTGGAGTCTGCAAGATGCCTTGAAACGATTTACAGAGAGACGCATGCGATCAGGCTTTGGCGATGGTGTCAGCATTCCGAGTCAAGTCCGTTGGGTAGGCTACGTACATCGTTGGACAAATCAGATGGCGAAGAAGTACATTGAGCGCCCCGTGGAGATCTTGGAGATACATGTGTGGGGGTTGAGAGATGGTGTCAAGGTTGCAGTCGAAGGGTTTGTCGACGAAGGCAAGAAGATCAAATGTTTCCACCTGTTCCACCGGAATGAGCGGACCGTCGTCGATGACGGGCACCCCGTGCCCTCATTCGAGAAGAACAATCATACACACAACAAGAATGCCACCGGGGCTCCCATCTCAGCGGTCAGTCCGCGGTCGAATTTTGTGTCCCCTTCATCCGGGTCTTCGGAGACCGTCATCGCACCGACCTCGCCGGCAGTGTCGAGCACTCCGGACCCTCCTCCTGCTAAGCAGGTATCGGCCATACTTTTGCGGCCCAGCAAGCCGGTGATTCTGCCAACTTCGGACATCAATATAGACTTCGAACGGCGCAGCAAAGCCGCCTATACAGGCTGGGCCATGGTGACGTCTGTTGCTCATGTATGGTTCAACGCGTATTTCGAAGGCGGCGACACTCATACCTCTGGGGTCTTTGAAACTGAATGGGAAGTTATGGACGGCATCAAGGGTAGTGGTCGAAAGGGAGTCAAGGCCCTCGATCGGCTCAAAGTGGTGTGGCGATATCCGCCCCGGTCACAGCTTGGACTCGAAGAGCTCGGAAAGGAAGACGTCGGCCCAGTAGTCGAGAAAGTCATCGGCGAGCCGGAACCAGGAGAGCCGATTCCAGAAAGCCATCCGGCAGATTGGCGAGGAGAAAATACAGAAGAGAATTCGGACTCTTGTCTGCGCGATCAAGAGAATATCTCCCGCCAGATTGCAGATGAAGGCAAGGACAGGAAGGATGTCAAGGGCTTGGCCTCCAGCACCGACCATTCCCTGCTTGCAAACCTCAGCACTGTGGCCGCGACTGCAGCATCTGCAACCTCGCATTCATTCCACGAGATCAAGAGGGAATTGGGGCTGCGAAAGCAAACCCCAACCAGTCAAGACGTAAGTCTTGCCAACAGCATGGAAGATCTCTCAATCAGACCCGACCAAGACAAAAGGAGAGCCGAAACGCAGAATCCTGTCGGCCAAAAAGTAGAAAACGGCGATTTGGAAGGCGTGCAGTCATACTTTGAGAACCGTGACATTGGCTCAACTGAGCAAGAAACCACACGAACATAGAGAAAAATATCTATCTGTTGGATCTATATCAGGTACTTATACACGCCAGTACTACAGGAAATATAGGAGATCACCTTATTTATAAATAGGCCATGCCAATCAATCATAGAGAGAGTTCACTATTCTATTATTCTAGCTGTAATATCTAACCTGGTAATGAATGGTTTTTAAGACGAGACATAAATATATTCTCTACTTTGAATAAGCCTGTTAAATTTCATGATATTTCCAGAAATACTAAATAGTTCAAAAAGCATGATGCCTTCGAGTAGAATAAGCCCGCGATGATTTACACGTTTGTCTAAATTATAAAGGAATAAACCCTTCCATCCTCTTGCGGCTCTGAAGCTGCTCCTGCTTCCTCTTCTCCTCCAGCGCCCTCTTCTCCCTGTTCAGCCGATCAGTCTTTTTCCGCTCATACACTGCACGCACTACGCGCTTGACTTGGTCTTGACCCTCTGCATAATTAGCCTTTGCTAGGCCGATCACAGAGTCAACCTGTTCAGGGGTGTAAATGAAGTTCCAGGTCGATAGAAAGTCGTCGACATCCGGATTGATAGAGCTGGGACGAGGTGCAAGAGGCTGTGTGGCATCGGTGGAGTCCTTAGAAGGGTTCTTGGCCGATTGCGCAGGGAATTGCTGCTTCGACTGGGAAGAATCGCGAGGCAGATCTTGCGCGGAAGGATTGGGCAAGAATGGGAAGTAGATCAGTGCAATTCCAGCATCGGGGCGCATGAGATGGAAATCAGAATCCGAGTGGTTGGTGTTCGACGGGTGGAAAAGACGTTTAGAAGGAGGAGGCTCACCCTCCGAGACTCTCTCCTCTAGTTTCCCAATCCACACATTACAGTATGTCAGGTCTGTATCGCTAACGGAGGCCTGTTCTTCTCTCATGCTTGACTCTTGCTTCGACTTTGGTCTTGTTGAACTTTCCGGGCTTTGACGGTCCTGCTGCTGCGCAGCGATCTTCCCATCCAAAGCCTCTTTGCTGAGATCTTCGGTCTCTCGAAGGACTCTTTCTGTTTCTTCTAGCTCGGTGTCTTCTTTCGGCCAGCCAGCACCAAGAGGCCAACCCTTGATACCCCGTTGTCGCGCGTATCCATCGACAACAGAAAGCCAGTTCTCGCGTTTGATATCGGCCGAAGCATCGAAAGCCACAATAACGTCTACATCCCTATCTGGTCGAATCAATGGGTATATCGGCAGATTGTTGCTCATTCCAGCATCCATAAGCCGTAAATGATCGTTCCTGAAGATCGACTCGGGGCAGGAAGCCGGGAGCTGGTCTTTCATGCCCATCACATAATTCGGGATAGCAGCAGGATCAATTGGATGCACCCGGACGAGATCTTTGTTCTTACCCTCGATCAGGGAGTCGATGCCCCCGAAGCCTGTTAGTCCCGTTAAAATTGGCCGTATCTCCTTGTAGTAATGGGCAAGCGTTGCACAAAAGGCACTGCCCCAGATACCCATCAGGCCTGGAATCCGCAACTCGGGAATCGGATACTCTCCAGGACGAACAACATTCTTGCCCTCGTTGAAATGTCGTCCCACAGCCCACATCGGAATTCCAGCACTGAGTTCTTCGCAGAAAAATTCGTATGGGGTGAATTCAAACCACTGGAACCATGCTTCTTTCTCCGCCTGCTGCATCAATGTCTCTGGTGTAGGCTGCCTCTTCAGTTTGTCGTCAAGTACTGGTATCTCATGGCGTACTGCTGTGTAAATTGGAAGTGGTTGTTCGCCATCAACAAGATTATATCGTTGATTTGACAATTTCAGGTCAAAGTCGGAGACTTCAAGTTCCCCTCTAGGGACTAGCAGTCTCGCGCCGAGCAAAAGACCATATATATCCACCAGCCCAAAGTCAGCACCCGGATCTGCCTTTAGCTTTTCCACTATTCCACTCAGCAGGTATTTGTTTGTAGGAGCAGTCGTCAGCAGGTTGAGCGCTTTGGGAGGAAAGGCGATATGGACCCCGAGTCGATTCTTTAGGTGCCCGACAAGTCGATTGAAATCGCGGCCGATGAGCGAGGAATGATACAAAGTCTGCAACCAACAACTCCCGCTGACTCCAGCTGTATATGTTACGCAGTCCCATAAACCAGATTCCTGGGCAGCGAGATATGACCCTGTTCCAGCAACGAGGGCCCGTAGCCCTCCTCCAGAGCCACAGACTGCGATTACTGGAACATCTTCTGGACAAATTTCATCCTCACGAAGATCAAGATAGGACGCCAATGCCTTGACAACGAATTTCTGCCTCTTCTGTCGGAATGCCATCTCTTCGGCGCAGAGACTGTTTCCAACACGCACCCTGGCATCTCGTATGATCTCTGGGTTGATTTCCTCATCTTGAGCCTCTTTCCAAATCTCATCTGCAAGAGATCCTGGTGCCATTGAGAGCTCTCGCTGCAGCTTTTGTAAAGTCCCTGGGAGGAACCGAGCCCAGTCTGGGGTTATGAAATGCTTGATATTATCACCCCATCCACTCCACTCTGTACTCGAGCTCACACTCATCTTCACTCCTTCTACCTTCTTGCCCACATTATCCCACACTTGACCCAGCTCCTCTATCCACTGTTTTATTGCATGGGAATTGGGATCCAAATCCTTGTCATGAAGCGAATCGGGCTTGCTCTGGGCCCCTTTCCCAGCCCAGTCTTTCAAATGCCATCCTGCCGATGAGGAAAATGGAGATTCTTGGGCGGACGAGGAGGTGCGTCCTCGAAGTTGGAGAGATGGTCCGCTGGACAAGGACACCCCTAGCAGAACAAGAGCTGGGGGGATTGTCCAGCGGATCCGTCGTAGCTTCACGACGCCCATCTTCGCAAAAGGACTCTGTAGAGACAATCGGCGCGCGCTCTGCATCCAATGCTTCTTTCCATGCCTGTTGGGTTAAAGATCGGCTGTTCCTGCTTTGAACTGGCCAGATCCTTGGATATCCTCCTGGGCAGAACCTACGTCATGGTCACGTGTTACACACAACCGGATGTCGGATAATCTTGTGGCCGAGAAAGCTCTTCTTTGGGACTAGCGGGTCAGGTGCGGAGTTGGAAGCTAGACGGTCTAGCTTCTTTGGGCGAAGGGTCTATCGACTCAAGCGTCAGGAGCTGTTGTTTGTCCTCAGCACCCAGCAGCCTCCACGGCGGGACTTGGGCTTGTACGCCATCGGATATGAAACTGCGCCATACGAGGGGGTTTTATTCCAGCTTCTCTCCGTGATATTCCAAGCAACCATGGTCGCGCCCAGAAATACCACCGCGTTTGCGGAGGAGAGCGCGGAAGTCGAGGTGTTGTACGCCAACCTGGAAACCCTCAAGCTCCTTACGAAGAAGATTCAAGGATCTCTTGTACGCCTTGAGTCCAGCGGGAAGGTCGTCAAAAATGCTATCGGCCCGATTTATAGCAACACGCAATCCCTCCAGATCACCAACAGCAACATTGATAAGGTCAACGAGGCAATCGATCGGCTTCGACAACCCCTAGACATCAAGGGTCGCGAAGAAGGAATTATACGTTCTGGGTAAGAGACTTACATGGTTGATTTTGTTTCTTTGCGTTTTTTCAAATGCTGGGAGCTAACAGACAAAAGACCACAGAGTGCCGGGTTGACGCAGTATCTGTCGGCGATGAAGCGGGTCGACAAAGCGCTTAGGGATTTGACAGCTACGAATATACGATCGAACCAGAACGCAATATCCGAATTCAGCTCCTTGTTGAATACAGGGAATGGGAAACTTCAGGATATGTTTCGACAGATGTTAGACGAACACGTGAATCCGGTCGAACCTCTGCACTATCTTACAAAGGGTGAGGTCCAATTGATGTTTTCTATGAAGGTTTATACCTAATTTGATGGCTTTTTTTCATATGTGAAGATCTTCCTTTTCCGACAATCCCCGAGGATGTTGTGTCTGAGTTGAGCTCTATTTGCTCAGCAATCGGCTCATCGGTCACTGACGAAAATGGCCAAGGCGACAATCCAGCGCTCAAAATCTACTCTGAAATTCGAGGACCATACATCACATCTGGGCTTCAGAACCTCGCCATAGCATCGATGAACACTGTCAAACGAAAACCTGGCGACGGGCCCTATAAGCAAGGTACCAACGGTATCGGGATCTACTCGAACGCTCTAGAAGGGTTTATCTCTGCTGAGCATAGCATTATTGTCAAGGTGTTCAAGGGAGATCAGCAAGGATTAACCCTGCAGGCTACATGTCGCGCCGCTTTGGCAGAGTACTCGAAAACACTACGCGAACTCAACCAGTACATTAAAGCCAACCTCATGACCGACTGCTTTCTGGCCTTCGAGATCATTGAGATCGTCACATCTATGTCCTATCGGATAGACTCGAAGACTGGCGAGCTGAAGAGTTTGTTCATAGAAGCCCTTCGACCAGTTCGGGAAACAGCCAAGTCTTCTTTGGCCGAGCTTCTCGAGGAGACCAAGCGCAAAGCGGCCGGTATCACAGTTCTACCCCCCGACGGCGGCAGCGTGCCTCTAGTCAGCGAGGTGATGAGCTCCATTTCGACTCTAACAGGCTATTCTGGTCCATTAGCCTCTATCTTGACATCTGTCGGAGATGGGAATTGGCGGTCCACATCCAACGCAGCCGGCTCGGCTCCTCTGGACGTTAGCCCGGACAGTTCAACAATTCTCTCACATTTCATCCTTGACATGATTGAGGCTCTAATGTCTGCGCTGGAAAGTCGGGGCCGGGCATTCCATCGCACCAAAGCAGCGTTTGGTGCGTTTCTGTCCAACATTTTTTTCATTGTCGACCGGTCCATCCGTTCAAACCCCGAGCTGGCGCGCTATCTAGGGACGGGAGACAGCATTTCCCGAATCGACGCTTTCCGCAAACGGGCTACTTCAACCTACTTAGAAGCTTGGCGAGAAACATCCCAGTATCTCCTAGATGTGCAGTATACCTCGCGTGTTGGCGGATCCGCTCGACCTTCATCCGGCGGCGCTGTTGACTCGACTTCCATCGTCAAGTCCCTCTCGTCACGGGACAAAGACGCCATCAAGGACAAATTCAAGTCATTCAATACCAACTTTGACAGTCTCGTCACTCAACACAAGGCACTCTATATGGAGCGCGAGGTCCGTGGTGCTTTGGCTCGCGAGGTGCAGGCCATCATCGAGCCTCTGTACGCCCGTTTCTGGGATCGGTACCACGAAATCGACAAAGGACGAGGCAAGTACGTCAAGTACGACAAGGGCGCCCTGTCCGCGCAGTTGGCAGCCTTAGCATGAGCGCTCCCTCTGGCCGCCTTCGCCCCTGGTCAACAAGATTCCTGTACAGACAGCATAGTATATACCTTTCTACCGATTCCATAGCATTATCTAGATGCCCAATAATCCTACCACAATCCCTTCATCTTTTCTGTTCTTTCCTTCTTTTTCATATAGTGAGAGGGTCAGGCCATATCACGTGAGATCGCCCTTAGTGGCGCAACCCCTCCACCGATAACGTGACTGATAAGCGGGAGTCTCCAGACCCCGCCACACCCTGCAAAATTTCCCGCTGAGAGCTCACAGCATCGATCATCCTTTTACGCTTCACTCCAAGCTTTCAATTCATTTCACAATTGACATAGGCAAAATGTCTACCAGCAACGACGTCTATCAGACGCCCCTCAACTCGCGTTATGCGAGTAAGTGTCTTTTTCCTGGGATTCTGGAGTATCGACATGTGCTAAGTGGTATATGGTTGAACAGGTACGGAGATGAAGTATCTCTTCTCTCCTCGGAAGAGATTCTCGACCTGGAGACAGCTTTGGCTGTGGCTGGCAGAGTCTGAGAAAGGTACAATTGCTATCATCTCGCGGTGGCAAAACAAACACGCGACGATAGACGGGCAGTCAAGCTGATTACCGCAGAACTCGGATTGGCTATCACCGACGAAGCCATTGAACAGATGAAAGCCCATGTCACCATCCAGGATGATGAGTTCAAGGTCGCCGCTGAGGAGGAGAAGCGCAGAAGACATGATGTCATGGCTCACGTTCACGCTTATGGACAAGTTGCGCCCGCCGCTGCCGGTATCATCCACTGGGGTGCCACCTCCTGCTACTGCACCGACAACGCAGATCTTATCCTGCTCCGCGATGGCCTCGACATCTTGATCCCCAAGCTGGCTGCTGTCATCGACAAACTCTCCGCTTTCGCCAAGGAATACAAGGACCTTCCCTGCTTAGGTTTCACCCATGGACAGCCCGCCCAGCTGGTTACCGTCGGCAAGAGAGCTTGCCTGTGGATTCAGGATCTGCTTATGGACTTGAGGAACCTTGAGCGGGCTCGCGATGACCTGCGTTTCCGTGGTGTCAAGGGTACCACCGGTACCCAGGCGTCGTTCCTCCAAATTTTTGACGGCGACCATGACAAGGTCGAGCGGCTGGACGAACTGGTGACCGAGAAGGCTGGCTTCCAGTCTGCGTTTATCATTTCCTCTCAGACATACTCCCGCAAGATTGATGTGGATGTCGCCAACGCCCTGGGTTCATTCGGATCAACGTGCGAGCGCATTGGTATCGATATCCGCCACCTGGCGATGCTGAAGGAGGTTGAGGAGCCTTTTGAAAAGGACCAGATTGGCAGCAGTGCCATGGTAAGAAAAACTCTCATCCAGCTATCCCTTGAACAAAGATTTTTTACTGACTGTGATTCCAAGGCCTACAAGCGGAACCCCATGCGTTCCGAGCGTCTGTGCTCTCTTGGAAGACATCTCCAGAATCTCCCTAAGGATGCCCTTGATACCTACTCTGCCCAGTGGTTTGAGCGCTCTCTGGTAAGACCATGGTCCATCATCTGTATCAGGAAATAGCATGAAAAAACTAACAAGAAAAAAAAATAGGATGACAGTGCCATCCGCCGCATCAGCATTCCTGAGCTCTACCTCTGTGCTGACGCCTGCCTTATCTTGCTGAGTGGGTTATATCTAAATTTGTACACTGTATCTGTTGACAAGCTAACAAGTGCTCTTAAGACAACGTTTCCTCCGGCTTCGTTGTCTACCCTGAGGTTATCAGGAAGCGTGTCAACGAAGAGCTTCCTTTCATGGCCACGTAAGTTTCCTTTTTCCGTTCCAGGATAGAGAGACCTGCTGACTGACCTCTCCCACAGTGAAAACGTAAGTCCCAGGGAAATATTGATTGATAGTTGATCTATACGGCTCCCATCCATACTAATATAAAATACACTCAAACAGATCATCATGGCCTGCGTCAAGAAGGGCCTCTCCCGCCAAGACGCCCACGAGGAAATCCGTAAGAACTACCTTGCATGAAACTCTCGAGTTGGGAGGCTTACCATTGGCTAACCAATGTATGTTACCAGGTGTTCTTTCCCACCAGGCATCGGACAACGTCAAGAAGCAAGGCAAGGAAAACGACCTCATCGAGCGCATCCGGCGCACTACCTTCTTCGCCCCGATCCTGGACGAACTGGACGCCCTTCTGGACCCCAGCACATTCGTCGGTCGCGCGCCTCAGCAGGTCGCCAAGTTCACCTCCACGGAAGTCAAGGCCGCCCTGGTCCCGTACCAGGAGTACATCCTTAAGGCGGAGACGGCGACTCTGTCCGTCTAAAAATCCGGGTCTTTTGTCACTCAATGCATGCATATATATGCCCTATGGAGCAGGGTAGCTAGGACAAGAGTCAAAAAATGCTTTTGTAGATACGAAATAACATCAATGTTTGAAATTACATATTCGAATGTTCTTTCTAGGTATTCTCGTAGAGAACAACGACATGGAAACTGTCTGAGCGAAAGAGACTGGTTGGCCAGTGGCTCGTGTTCTTGTCACACACAAGAAAAGTTAGATGAAGTTCGGTTCAAGTCTTTCAACAAAGCTCACAGGAGGCCCTCGGGGCGCCTCTGGACTGAAGGGGGTCTCGCTACAGACCATATCGGATCCATCTGACGTTTCTGAAGCGAAACTTTAACGATGCTTGGGCCCTTGAGGAGAGGAGGGTGTGTCTCTCGCCAAATGGCACGGTGAGACAAACCGCGTATGGAAAGACCTGAAAACGTCCCGGTGCAGCATGTTCCAAGCTTCTCGGTCTGTAGAGCCTATTGGATTATTCTGAGATAGGTCCAATGGGAGTAGATACCAAAAATAGCCATCTTTGCGGGATTGTTGGCCAGATGTTTTGGTAGGAGTTATCTAGGTAACGTTGATGGGATGCCTAAACTGGCCGGCTCAAAAGGGTGGACAGAGAAGTAGATTCCATACTTGAATGCATTATTAGATTATACCATGATTAAGTTTATATTTTCTTCTCCCAGGCTTTTAGCTACTGCATGAAGACCAGTGCTTTCCACCTTGACGACCAGTGTGCTTACGCCAGGCTCGACGCCAAAGGCTGGGGCACTTCGCAATCAAAGAAAATTAGACACTAGAAAGAAAAGGGCTTCTCATAAGAAGGACGATACGGCAAATATGACCGTGAGGGTGTCTTGGGAGAATTAAAGACCGAAAGCTATGAGAAACGAGAAAGAAATCAACGAGGCAAGATAAGACCCGCAAAGCACAGTATTTTTTTTAGTAAGAAATAGAAAACAGAGCAAGGGTTATCTGTCGGAGCCATTTTAAAGCAGCCATTGAGTAAGAAAGGGAGGGCTGTAGAAGAATAGGGGAGAGAGTACATCGAAGGAGATGACTGAGAGAGGGAGAGAAAGAGAGAGAGAGAGAGAGGCCGTCTAGAAGAACGAGAAGAATACCGGAATAGAGACGCCTGGAGCAAGATGCTTCTAACTTTTTAAGAATGAGACCATAACGAGATAGCAAGGATATCCCCGATCTACTGCATGAACTTGATTCATCGCTGACCAAGCTTGCAGATGGTGGCTTGCTATTACCACCCAGAAAATGAAGGGCGGAGAAACGAAAAGGAAAAGGACAGCCGACGACTCATGATTTCGAAGGGGAAAAAAAGGAGTCGAACTTTCATGAGTTTCGTCGACACATTGTACAGGGCAGAAAAGCTGCATTCATAGGCTGGCTAGCCAATTGATGATCTAGGCAGGCGTACGTGTCAAAGGTTGGGAAGAGGGAAAAGGCTATAAACACCAAGGAGAGAAGCTTACCATCATTGCCTGGACCAACGACACTTTCTCTGCGTAGTGCATTCCGTCGAAACTGGTGGCCTGCAAAGTTGCATTGTACATGCCTAAAACGTCCATATTCCTAGCACGTGCGGCACTTGCTGTGTCAATCGTATACTTCCAGACCTCACTATCTGAGGGGATATTGCCATTGCCTTTTTGATGGCCAGGTGCGGTAGGCCCAACCCAGAGGAACGGGGTGACATGTCCACTAGTCTTTGCCAGCTCAAGCCATTCGTCCATGCTGCTCGCCGCCGCTGAAACTGAAAGTGAGTTACCCTCAGATAGGCTGTAAATCACCGGAATAGGTTTCTTTGAACCAGTTGCCTTGGCAACTTGGCGATAGAACTTCTGACGAGCAGCCTGGGATACCCGAGCTCCGGAAATCGAGACCAAACTATGAGAAGGACCTAAATAGGGTCGGTTAGCTGGATGTCGGACGATGCAGGGAATATTTGGTTTTCTCATTGATAGATGCTGCTTACGGGACGGGCAGATGTAAGGACTACGAGTGGCCGGGAGTCCAGGAACGGGTTGCAGATCATCACTAGAAGTGATCCGGAAAGATAAACAGACGCTGTCGGTGAATTGGGAGTCGCATTGGCAAAGGTCTAGCTGCCGCTTGCTTATTTCCGACTCCTTCAAAGAGCCAGCAGCCATGTCTTCTCGAAGAATGATGTTGAAGGCGGCGTAAACGTTGGCGAGCATGTCTTCACCGATGAACAGAACGCCATCAAATTTTTGCAGGATGGCACACACTTGCGCCGCCGAGTACCAGCGATAGTAACATCCTACCGGGGAAGGATTTTAGCAGAAGACGGCAGTTTTTTTTTT